ATTGTAAGCCATTATCTGTATCACATCACCACAATTTTACATCAATACCTGGAATTTCATCCAATTTCTTTTTTTGAAGTTGTTCATTTATAATTGAATAAACGCGAATAACAGTTTCTGATATTTTTACAACTTTCCTTAATACTGTCTAAGATAGTTGTCCAGTAGATACTTGAAACCTTTTTACGCTTTCTATGTATGACAAAGATCCTCTTATTTGCAAAATGCTACAACAAGCGTCTGTCATTCGTGTCATCATTCTCCTACGCTTAATTTTTTTTCTTTTTTTTGGATTTGCTTTCATTCAAGTTATCTCATAATTGATCATATGATTCATTGATTTAAGAGACTCGGCATTAAATTTCTATCTCTCGTAGTGTCTACTGGCAGGATGTACTCGTTAACATCCTAAGCCCCTCTTACACTATGTTCTTAATAACCTCTAGTTCATGTATAAACCTTTTAGTAACTATCAAATGCGTTGTTAAGATGCACAGTATATTGTCTTTTCAGTGTTAAGCTTAACTTTTAGTGTTATCTGCCATGGCACAAATGCCAATTCAAGCCTAAATAACAAAGTGGTTGTCAGGACACACAAGCTGTCATAAGGGAAGTCAGTAAATGTTGTTTCGATGCGAAATATGGAAGGGTAAATTGACCAAACAATGTCCGTAAGAAAGTAGCCGCCTACTTCTCCCCCTCTCCTTACTCCTAATTCCTGTGTAACTGATCATATTATCAATTATAGAAATATTCTTTTGTGCATAATAAATCCTTAGGTAGTCATTTCAGCTCATGGGGATATTAATAGACTGGATTCAGCCCTGTCATCATGTCTTCTGTTGAAATAAGAAGTTGTGTGTACGACTGTAAGACGTTCACCATTCTCCTTATTTGGAAATGCTAAACTGACTGATAATATCTGCATTCAAGCAGCAATCTCTCTCTCTCTCTCTGGTTATTATAGGGATTATTATTTGGCAATTTTGAATTGCTTTACAATTTCCTATTTGACTCATAAAAAGTCTCATCAGCCTGAATCTGAATTCCGCTACTGTGCATCTGACTACTCTCTTCTCATTGGAGAAATGTAATTCATCGACAAAGATAAGTAATATCGAAACTAAAGTTTGTGTGATTGAGTGTAGCTGTCAACTTAAAAACAAATCAAGGATTAAAAATGCGCGGCTGAAAAATAAGATTGTGCCAACTACAAAAATACATCAATCAAAGTTGAAAAGCGTCGAATTTTTACTTTGTGGGTCGATGCCCTCAAGTGCTAGCTTACATTGTAACGGCATCCTGTCAACTGCCAAGACAGTTTGCGTTTATCGCGTTTATTGGTAGGTGAATATTATGCTGATGAATTATCTCTCATGTGTTGTTTGTCAACAGAATTTTCAGCCTGAGAATGGCCAGAAAAAATTGCTTGTGATAAAAAAAATTATCAGTTGAATATGTGAAAACGTGTTTTCGATGTTTTTTTTATGAATCCTCCGGTTGAATATTGTTAGTAAAAAAAGTGTGCGCCACTGGGGAGTGAGTAACCGGTGTCATGCATCTAGTCCTTGGTGTCGGTGCAGACTGAATTCTATCAGTCAAGTTTGCAAAGTGGTCACCAAACTAGTCGGCTCACCGTTTCTATGCACTCTGACTGGATGTTAGATGGATTAATAGCAGCGGGCAGGAATCCCTGGACCTAGGTAAATTGTGAGTCCAAAAAACCCTATAGTAAGGTTTCTGAATGCAACACTAGGTAGCGCAGGTTTAAATCCCATTGGGGACATGAGTTCCTCCGATTCTGCATATACGCCTTGCTGTGACGAGTGCCAACAAGCACGTAAACTAGGTCCAGGGATTCCCGCCGACTACTTTCTGCTCTCATTGCGTAATGATGCATCTGTATAGGCGGTAGATTAATTTCTCTACATTTAGGTGGACTTTCTTCTTGTGAAGACCATCTGCTCGCCTAATTAACAGAAAACAGATGTATGATTATTATTTTTATACAGCTAAAGTGCGTTTTTTCGAAATCAGTATTTTCCACCGGTGATTAAAACCGGAATCAAGCAGATAACTTCTTTATTGTTATTATTATTGTTCATACTTTTATTATCATCGGATGATAATAATCTTATTGTCTGAAATTTACTGCCTTATCTCTGTTGTATTCACTATACAATCGGTAAAAGTTAACGTTCCATTCATACAGTGCATACCATACCTGCTTAAGGTAACTAGCTGTGAATAGATAATCTCAGTGTACAATGATAACATACATCACTTTGACTTTACTTTTTGTTTCAGTACTCAGCTCACCACTATGACTTTTATCAGTTTATGTAAGCTGAAAACCTCTGTACGCATGTGTGGGTGTCCACTCTGCCATGAAACTATTTGCTCAAAAACCAGTATATGTTGTGTTGTTACATAACTTTGTATGCATATTCACTACTTCTTTTGTCTTCACAAATTTGTTAATTCTTCTTTTGTGTATAGAAAGAAAAAAAAAACTTCATATTTCTTCGCATTAGTTACAACATAAATTAACTGTATGAATGTGGATAGAGAGAGAGAGAAATAGATCGAGGTTAATGTCTGCCCTCATCCCCAACTGAAAATGTATATATTGGTTTGAAACTAATTCAACATAAGCATTTCTAGACAAATTCAGTGGTTTTTCTTAGTTTATGCCCTCCTTATTTTTGATTTATGCGAAAAAACAAACTTATTGTTGGATATTGAAAGTTAATTTTGAAATTTGAAGCATTTGTTCACTCACACAATTTATGCATTTCAATATTCAACAGTAAGAATTTTTGTATTAAATCAATTTCCATTAAACTGCCTTACTTTGATGGCTTTACAACTAACTAATTTATAAATTGGGATAAATTTTCAATGTTAAATAAATAATGTACATGACTTATTGGTGCATGATTGGAGCATGTGATTTGTCGAAACAGGAGATACGGGTCGATGACAACTTGTATCTAAGCTGGGGGACCTGTAGCAGGCAAGGCTTTCACTTTAGTCGTTAACCAGTACCGGAATAGAGCACAATATTATTTGGTTATTTTTTAGCGTAGCGATCCCTTTTCACACTAATTGGTAATTTTTGTATCAGTATCCAAAACTGAACATCTGTATCGATCTCCATGTGACATGTAATTTATATATTAATGCTGTTATTGGGAAATATGCGAATACGAATTACTCGGACAGTGAACACCAGATAGCCATCTCCTTTTGTTAGTTTATATATGACAGTAATCATATTTATCCTTCATAACTTTATTTAGGCGACTTCACGTCCGTGTAATAATTGAGAATACCAATAAACTGTATCCACAATGCTATCAAGTCAATTTTTATTTCCATTCTTTGAGATATGAGTAGATTATAAGGCTTCAAAGTTTTGTCTTTTCAGTAACCGTGGCGTAGTTTTTAAAGCTTGGATTTTCTGGTCTCACTCCCAACCTTTCTTTTTACCTCGTTTACTGCCGGTTAGTAAGATACCCGCCAAGTTCAGGAGTGTGTAACCGCCGAGAATCGAACCTGCATCTCCCATGTGGGGCTGGTAAGTATTTTGCTACTGAACCACGGATGACTCACACCACGTCAATATTAATATGACATACTTTCACCATCAAGCTGACTACATTCTAACAACTGAACTGTTTCCACTTCTCAGGAAAGGGAAAAACAAAAATATCTGACTAGATGAACAGTAGACTTCCGAAATTTGAGTCATTAAATCTCAGTGCTAATGATAATGTATGTTCGGACGTCGTCAGATTCTCTCCTGGTTAACTCTGCAAGCAAATTCACTTGATATATACACACTGGTGTGAAGAGGTTAATCACGTGGTCTCAAAGTGAAGTGAAGGTGACTCACTAGCCCGCAGAATAGTGCTAACTGTAGTAGAGAAGCAAGATGAGGAAGGTGATGTGAGTAAGGGAGAGTGAGGCTCAGGAAGGCTTCGTGTGCTTTTGGAAGTGTATGGGCGGTTGTTACTTCCCGGCTGCCCACACCATGGAAGTTGATTGATTCTTCGGGAACCTGAAACAGAAAGAGAGTTGCGTGACCGCAGAGCCCAGGGGACATCTGCTTAAGGCCGGTTACACGCGGCCTGTTTTTGTTTGGCGTGTCTCAGTAGCATATTTATCACTTCTGCCCTGTGACATGGCAGCAGGAAGCGCGGTCGTTGTTAATCCGGGCCCCGACCGATTCGGCATGATATTTTGTGAATTTGTTTGAATCAAAGTGTTGGATTGAGTAGCTGCTTTTTGTCTAATCGCTATCCAAACAACCTTTCTGGCATGGTAGGACCTACAGGAACATAAGTTCCAACCAGTGTAGCTCGTTGGGTTATTGCGATATGCAAGCCCGACCACCACGTCAAGGTAGCAGCTATCGGTCGAGAGGTTAATCACCAAGATGTCTGGGCTAAAAATATTTGTTATGGAGGATTGTGGTTAGCTAACTTCATAGTCAATAGATTCGGATTCACTGTGTCACGTGTTTAAGTCCTGGTATACTTCATTTAGGCTTAAGTAGTCAGGTAGTAATTATTCATCGCTAAGGCCATAGAGGTGTTTTTAGGTTTGCTGAGTCGAGTTTACCTAGTGTTCAGGTACGTGGAAGGATACTTAAACTGGACATAACAGTCGGAATGTATTTGAACAACTTGACAACCTGCAGGATATTAAGAGCAGTAGTTTCATAAGTTATTCAGTTCATTTTCTTCGTTTATTATTGTTGTTTTTCTTTTGAATAGCCTCTTTTGCTTGCGTTGACGCATAAAGTAACAAATGCACACAGTCACCTAGATGTTTATTTTTATTGTATCGACCTACCTTTCAAAGTATATGTTATCTGATACTGTTTAGCATATCAACCATAATGGTTTATAATGATTTCATCCGATCATATTCTTTCATCTACGTGCATACTTTTTATTTGTATTATAAATATATTTTCACTTTATCTCTTGTAGACGACACAAGTTGCCCATAGTTTAGTCAAACAATTGGTTGCTCACCTTAGTTCCCACGAATCAGATTTCACATTAGCTGAGCGTACAAGCTTAGTTCAGGTAAGCGTTGATGATATATGCATTGGCAAATGCTTTTTTTGATTGAGTTTTAAAGTTTATCGTAGTAACTACACTGGTATTTACTGTTAACAGGATTGTTCGGAACCAATCATGCCCACAGATACTTTCCACTGATCAGTTTGAGCCAAATGGTTAGTCAAACCCTTGGAGCCTCTACCCAGTGAATTAGTGAAACACAGACACCTTTGCATTTTTTGAAAGGATAAAAGATTTAAATGTTAATAGTAAATTCATGATACCATTCGAGGTATCTGCCTTATTCACCAATGTACCACTTATGAAAACAGGAAACTTTGTATGCAAAGGACCTATTAGACGAAATATAGCTGTCGGCATTCCCATATCTTCTATAAAAGAGCTCCTTTTGAGATGCACAATGAATGTTCACTTTTTATTTAATAAGGGAATATACAGACAAATTGATGGTGTGACAATGAGGTTACCACTGGGACCCATTCTAGCCAACATTTCCCTTACAAAACTGGAGAATGGGCCTTTGAAAGATGTAATTGATGATCTAGAATCCTACTGTAGTTACATGGATGGTACATTTTTGATTATGAAAAATCAGGATGCAGCAAACAACATCCTTGAAAAATTTAACGATGTGCATCCTTCAATAAATTTTACCATCGAGAAAGAAAGAAACTCTAATAGTTCACTCCTAGACGTCCTTATGACTAGAAAAGAGGACGGTACAATAAAAAGTGTATATAGAAAACATACACCAACTGGTCAGCTCCATACCTTTGAAATACAAACGCAATCCAATACAGTGTTTGGTCCACAGAGCAAGAGCAATCTGCTCTGATGAATGTCTTAATGAAGAGCTTAATATTATTAAACGGTTGCCGATTGAGAACGGCTACCCAGAAAAATTCGTCGATAAGAATGTGGATCAAAGGTCAAAGCAGGCTAAAGTACCAAAAGTTACGAAAACGACCTTGTTCTTACAGCTTCAGTTCCTTATGGATAACATCAGTGAGATACTAACTCACCGCCTAAGGAATGCGGTAAAAAGAGCAGAAAAAATACTGTCCCTTCAAAACCAACCCTATTTTACATCCGAGAGTTAAAGATAAACTATCTGATTTCTACTCTTCTCTGTGTATGTATCAGTTTGACTACTCCTGTGGACCCAGTTACACAGGCCATACCATTCGGCGTGTTTATCGGTGGACTTCCAAACACTATTCTGCGTGGTTGAGTAAAGGACAAATAAAGTTCACTCATAGTTCTATACTATCTCATCTCGTTTATACAGAACATAAGATTGATGTTAACGAGGCTTCCAAAGTCGTCTACCGTACACCAAATAATCTCAACTTTACCTCGAATTCGTCAATTACATAATGTTGAGACTGTTGGAATCCGTGTTAAGAAGCCTAACCTATGTATCCAGAAGAAATTGGTTCAGACGTTAGGGCTTTAATAATCCTTAATTTGTTGTAGAAATTCCCTTAATCTTATTTGATATTCTATTTACTACTACATTTATATGCTGATCATAACTTATGCACCTTTCTTGAACTGTAATTTCATTTGTATTATTATTATTATTCCCTTGGGTTCCGAGTGGAACATAAGGCTTCAACAACATATCTCCACTTTCTTTTATTTTCCGCCATCCTTTTCAGATGGGTCCACAATTGACCATAATCTCTCATATGCTCCTCTCACGATCTCCTCCATGTCACCCTCGCATTGATGACCCACTCGTTGCTTCCCATTGGGATTCCACTTCAGCGATGGCCAGCCTGGCGTGTGATGTCATTCGACGACCTCCTCAACATGTGCCCGATCCATCTTCATTTTCTCCTACATATGTGTTGAGCAATCGTCTCTTGTTTGGTTTTTTCCAAGCCAGAGTTTCTTGTTGCTAATTCTTTCTGGCCGACCGGCCATTTGACCTTCAGTATAGAGCCAGCGAAGGTGGCATCTGTTGGTAAAAGTGTGCAGTGGCGTGTTGGAAATCCTTTTCGCTACACGCCAAGCTTCTAACCCGTATAGAAGGACCAACTTGACATTGATGTTTAAAATCCGAATCTCGTTCTTTTTGTTGGCTGTGTACAGAAAATTTTTAAACTGGTTTCGGGTTGATGAAGGCATATCTTGCCTTTCCGATTCTGGCTGGCTTTGACATCTTCATCCGTCCCACTGGCCTGCATTTGAAATGATGCTTCCTAGATAAGTGAAGGAGGCAAACTCTGTTACATCTCTCCACTGATGGTGATTGGTGCTGGTTGTTGCTGCTGTCGGTTGGTTGGTTATCTTCATCACCTCCGTCTTCTCTGTGTTCACTTGGAGTCCTATCTTCGCTGCTTGCCTCTTCAGCCAGTTTGTTGGTTTTCGCCGGTCAGTCTTCGAATTTATGGGACATAAATCATCTGCGATTTCAGATCATGTAGAGTCCTAATTATCGGTGATCTAGCGTATTCCTGACCCCTCGCTCCAAGCAGTTTGATGCATGATCCAGTCCACCACAATTAGGAATAACATTGGTGACAATAGACAGCCTTGTCTTACTCCTGTATGCACTTCGAACGCCTCGCAGAGTTTCCCGTTGTGGATGACTTGGCACGCGGCATTGTCATATAGCTATTGAATGAGGTTGATAAAGACTTGTGTACTGCACACCGTAGTGTTGAAGCAGTTTCCAAATTACTTCTCAGTCAAAGATGCGCTGTCGAAGGTCTTTTTGGAGTCGATGAAGTTGAGGTAGAGGTTTGACTGACATCCTTTGCTTTCTTCCGTGATGACGATGCGTAGAGTTGTGATTTGATCAGTATATGATTTGCCTTTCCTGAATCCAGCTTTTTTTGGTCGGTGGGGTGGAGTTCTGAATCCAGTGCATCCTTCATTCTCTCCAGGATGATGCGACTTAGCACTTTACCTGATGTGGACAAGAGCATTATTCCACGCCAGGTCTTGCAGAGTCAGTCATAAGTCGCCCTACTTTGGCAGCTTGACGAAGTAGCCAGCCTTTCTTCCAATCGGTAGGTACCTTTGCTTCTTTCCAATTTTTCGCATTAATGGCGTGAGCACATTTGCCGCAGTCTCTGGGTTCGTTTTCAGTGCTTCTTTGGGAATTCCGTCTGTTGCTTCTGTCTTCCCGGTTGGACTTCAATAGCTTGATCGCATTTAGGATTTCTGCTGTCGTCAGAGGATAGGTGACCACTGGCAGTTCCTTCCGTGCCGTTGGTGTGTTTCTGGGTGAGCTTCAGTTGATCGTCGATTCAAGAGTCCTTTAAAGTGGTCATCCCTTTGTTTTATTTGTTTCTCCTTGTTAATTAGGTTCCCATGAACATCTTTTATTGGCTTCACCATCTGGGTTGATCTCTTCCCAGATACCGTGTGACCTGGTTATCTGATATAGTGTCCTGAGGTCTGTTTTACCTGCGCCCTACCTGTTCTGCTCCAGTCCCCAGTCAGTGTCTTTTGTCTTCCCTAGCACTCTTCTTCACGTCTCTCTTGATTCAGTGCAGTGTATATTGAACTCAGCTTCCCCTTCTGTTGTGCATCTTTACATTGGGTCATCTTCTCTTTCACCATCTACTTCTCTTCTATTAGCCTCCAAGTAGGTGTCCGTAGAAAGCTATTTCTTGTCTTGTCTCTTCTTTCTTTCTAGAACAGTTGTACACGTTTCCCTAAATATCGCCCTCAAGAAGCACCAATATCGCTAATGACAATTATTCTAGAATATTCTACATATATATAATTGTATGACCGGAAGAGAAAATAATCCAAAAAGACATTCTTTGCTCAAATTTTCTTTTGTCTTCTAAATTCGTATTCTGTCTAACATTGAAACTGAAGATGAGTGATATGAGTATCTGTTGTTAACACTATATAGAGTCTATTTAACGATTAGTATTGTTTGAGGTAGACGTATTTTGTGATAATTACTGTCCGATGATATTTTTCTTTTGTACGGGAACTACTATGCATTGATTAAAAACCTCTCTACTTGTTACGGCACTTCATTTCATTATAATCGAAAGGCAGAGAAAATTGCACTGTTTCTGTTTCAACTAGTTGTCAGACAATAAGCAATTTATCTGTCAACTTTCCGAGGCCTGATCAAATTATATTCATCAAGTTGACCGTACGGTTGATAATCAATTGGCGTCTAAATGCATTGTATATCGTCTTGGTCTTGACTGGTTTGTTGTCGATCGACAGGGAATCTTGGCTGACCTTGTTCTCGTAAATGATGATATTTCCTACTAAAATGTATCTGCCAGAAAAGATCAGCAATAGAGATCTCTGGGAGCGAACCAACCAGGAACCGATTATGAAACAAATAGTCAGGAAGAAATAGAGATGGATTGGCCATACTCTGAGGAAACCATCAAGTGACATTACTAGACAAACCCTCGAGTGGAACCCAAAAGGGAAGCGGCGAGTTGGCCGTCAGTGCGAGAGTGGGTGACTTGGAGGAGGTCATGTGAAGAGGAGATGAAAACGTGTGGGCAGACTTGGAGCCAAGTGAAGACTCTAGCAGAGAACCGAACGCAATGGAGACGCACGGCTGAAGCCCTATGTTCCTCTAGGAATTAAAGGAAATAATAGTAATATAATAAAATGTATCTGCAGCCTGTCTCCAGTTTGCTAAACAAAGTAACATTAACGCCTTTGATTTCAACAATAAGTGAAACTCATTCCGATAAGACTTGAATTATCCTACAGGTACTCATAAGTGTCAAGTAGGTGCCTACCTTACCGACTGGATCATACCACACCTCATATATGTATGCTACTTGTTAAGGCATATCTTTGAAACATGCTCAGTTCATTTGTTTAAGTATCTGACTAGGGGTCGCGCTATGTCGTGAATTGGCAGAAGTTAGAATTCATGGGCCATTGGATCGGGTCCCAGTGACTTAATGGTATACGAGCTCGCCTTGTAACCAGAAGGTCCTGGGTTCAAACCCCGGTGGGTGTGTACTGATGAAGAGTCCTAAAGTAGGACGAAACAGTTGTCCAGTACTCCCAGGTTTCCCAATGGTTCTCTAACCAATGTCAGCTCATGATGAAATCCTGTAACCAACCAAATCCCTACAAACCAACACTTAAATATCTGTAAATTGCTGACAACAACAACATTCTGCTTTATTTGTCCAGATTGCATTTTGTTTAGAATTTTATCTGATAAAAAGTAAGTCATGCTGTCTGCATACACTTAGCCGACTAAAGAAGCTCTCCATGGATGTGTCAATTGCTGTAAAATTGAATGAAAACGAAAAGACCATATGTATCCAATTCCTTTCATATAAATTACCCCATTTTCAATCCATTTACTATCTTCTTGTAATTCAGGTTATAGGATTGACTGTAATCAATTTGGCAAAAGGTGCAATTGGACCGGATGTATTTCACAATTTTAAATCCTTACTTCAAGTGAGTTTTGCAAATTTTATACTTCTTTATGCTACTTAGCATAGTTTGGTGAGTTTGTAGACAATGTGGTAAGTTTCTTAATTTATTTTATTCACTTTTATTTGATATTTGCTCTAACCCCCACCCCACTAACCAAAATGAAAATGTATAGAATTAATTGCCTAATTTCTCGTTTGGTCGGGACTACGAATCTTTGGGACTTGTACTCACTTTTCTACTAAGCCTAGCCTTTTCTTATGCCGACCTTTCTTGACTTCTATTGGTCACTAAGCAAATCTTCAATTGCATTTGAAAAAAAAAACTATGGATCTTTTTTTCAGTCTTGAACTGAAAAATTTATTTTTCCATTTAAATCATGTGTATATGTTTGGTTATTTTTTTTCGTGACTTACGTCAACAGCTCTTTTTCTGTCTCTCCGCAAAACATCAGCATTTCTAAGCCACTTTTTATATGAATTATATATATTACACTGTGAGCCGTAAATATTGTCTAATACCTTACCACATACGTCTGGTTAGCAATAATATTGATCATTTAGTGCATGGACAATAATGATAATGATCATAATATATCAGTAATATCCGCCTTCTCATCTGTTCGTTAAGCCCACAAAGTCTTACTCTGCTAATTGTCCGATGACTTTAATAAAACTGAAAAAAAAAAACTAGAATTTCTTGCAATGATTGGTATCTTTCAGTGTAAGAATTAGGTTTCATGCCGCCTAGACGAACCCACACATACACACACAAGGAATCATAATGAGATATCAGTTGGATGAATGATATTTCTTTTCTTAATGTGTGTATGTACAAGGAAATAGTAGGATTTCTGCGCACATCATTGAAATGCGTGTACATAGACGTATCTGTGTGTGCCTCTGATGTACTGGTAGAAAGCATGCCAACAACAACGTACAGATGGTCCGGGTTCCGTTGCCAGCTGATGCTTTCCTAAACCTCATCTAACCAAGTAGTAACCTCGTTGAAAGAGGGAAAGTTGAGTGTGGGGCTAGCAAAACCCACCTCTTGAAAACAGCTCCCGACTGATAGCTGCTACCTTGACGTGATGGTCGGGTTTGTATATCGCAATGACCCCAAAAGATACACTGGCTGGAACTATTGTTCCTGCAGGTCCTACCATGTCAGGAAGTTTGTTAGGACAGCGATTAGACTAGAGGCAGTTACTGGCAAAGCATAAGTTCCTTTCACACCAAGCTGTGGGTCTGTGGGCAAAATCGTACTACTGGGGAATAGCGATGTAACAGCAGTGAGCTTTATTCTTCAGATGATCAGCATGTCAGCCAGCTATGCTGTCTCTCCACTGTGGAGAAAGAGGATATAAAAGGTCGACCCCCAAAACTGTGCATCCTAAATTACCCTACTGCGGTCCGTAGCTGGTGGTAAGGTACGGAATCAAGCCAAATAACCAGTTCAGACAGGCCATGTGTGACCGGCCGGTCTCAAGCAGTTGTCCCCTGGGCTATGCGGTCACGCAACACTAACTCTGTTTCTGTTTCAGGTGTGAGCAGCCAGGAAGTTACAAACACCCACACGAAACCCGCCTGATTTTCACCCTCCTTTATTCCTTTCAACCTCATCATTTTGCTTCCCTAACACTGTCAATACTATTCTGCCGGCTAGTCAGTCATCTTCATTTCATTCTGTAACCAGAGGTAACGATGAGAACCGGAAAAACACCTCTGACAGCCTCTCAAAGCCACGTCGCCAACTTGAGATAGGAGAACTTAACATCAGGATCCTCCGCCAAATCGGACAACAGTCATCGCTAGCCAGAACTCTGGCATGTCGAGCCATGGATGTGTGTTGTATCTTGGAGACATGCATACAAGACCCGAGTGTGATCATTCACTTAACCCCATCAGTCCTCCAAGGTGAATTTTCCAAATTCACTTCGAGGGTGTCAGGAGACTCCTCACCTGGTTCTCGAGGACTCCTAGGTGTAGTGATAGCATTGGGTGTTGAGGAATAAAAAATACTTCTTCACTGGATCCCAGTAGCTAGTCATGTGTGCAGTCCGTTTGAATGGGTCCGTTAGAAGGAGGAAGGACGGCGTTACTCATCGTCGTCTTCTCACAGTGTTCGCTTACACCCCAACCAACTGCATTTTGGACTAACCAAAGGATGACTTCTACCAGAAGCTGTGTAATATTCTGCACAAAGCAAAACGTTCGAATATAGCTGCTTTAGCAGGCGACTTCAATGCCCCAGTAGGGAAGTTGTGCCAGACTGAGTAGTACGTAGGTGGTACATACAGGGTTCCCTGCTAACGAACCGACGACGGTGGTCGTCTTGTACAGTTCTGTTGAGATTATCATCTGTTCCTAGTCAGCACTAACTTTAGACACAAAGGTAGACATTGTCTAACCTGGTGACCTTCATCACCAAATCAACGTAGGACTCAAATGAACCACAAAGCAATAGGGTTACATCTACTGAGATGGTTAGGACATGTGTTACGCATGCGTGCCTAGCCATCGATCGCCTTCCTCGACAATGGGCAATGTTAGCTGACATAGGATGGATCAGGTAGGAAAAGAGTTAGTGGTGGTGGTCCAACCAAACATGGGTTGGTCAATTAATGAAATCCACGACAGTTAGTTGTAGAATCCCTGGTTGGGTTCCTCGTGAGAGTAGAAACCAATGGCTGGAGACAGTTGGTAATGTGGCTCGAAATAGTTCTCAATGGCTGGCGGAGATGTATTCACTCTTCGTGATTTATAATATGCAATAAAATTCTATTGTTTCTCCATATTACTATTTTTTGCTTCATATCTCTGTTTACTGTCTCTACTTTGCGTTTCTTTTTACTTTTTTCTCTTGTTTTGTGTGCTGCATGGAGGGAGTGTGGCGACTCAAACTGCTACACATCAGTGCAAAGTTCTATGTTGAAACCAGTCAGTCAGTCAGAAAACTGCACCACTGATATTGACACGACAAGGCCCAGACTTAATTACAGTTACCTTTGTTCCACTCCTTTTGTGTCAGTGGTCTGCTTAAATCTCACTAGGGTGGAATTCGAAGCTGTGACGTTGGTCATAGTAATACACTTGTTGAAATGGTAATTACGTGAATCCATAGGGACGTTGGTACGCATAAAATATATTAGCCGCAGTCAAGTAACGAACTTCGTATATATATATATATATATATATATATATATATATTGAACGTCTATTCATTCGTTTTCGGGTGACGTTAAGTACAAAATAATCATGCAATTGATGGTTGCTGGTGATTATTAGAAACCAATCAATAATTTTGATATAACCCTTTCAAGTTAAACCATTGAAAACGAAAAAAATATCAAGTTATTAAATTACAATCAGATAAAATTTTTGTTTTGAGAACTAACTGAAATAACTTCTTGTTTGGTGTAAATAATTTCAAACTAAATTATTATATTTATTATTATTATTATTCTGAATAATGCCAGAACAACAGTTTGTGCAGAATAAAATGTTACAATAATTTACTTCGTTGGCTTCCCATCATCTGTTTACAGTCTAAAGACATTATTAAGTTCTTGTACAGAAGCAATTTTAACATACACGGAGATTTCATTTTTAAACAAAAAATCAATCAATGTATGTATACAATGGTAATAATAATAATAATAATAATCACTTGATTCCAAACAGTAATACTCATGCAGAATGGAATTTTTGATATTACGTGATCAAATGAAAGAGGTAATAAAAGCATCTGGTTGCCAGGGCAACAAGAAGCTGATAACCTCTTCTTTCTGAACGCATGAATCGGGTTTTAGCCGCTTGATGGAGATTGCTTCGGCAAGCTTGAGGAGAATTGAACTGTGTTGCCTTTTGATAATTTCGAACTATCTTGCGACTTCCACCTCATGATCTATGTCAAGGAGATGACTGACAATGGCACTGTTGAAAGCATTTGTTCCCCTGAGAAGTAGACTATTTGGTACATGATCAGAAAATCTAACGGTGTGCCTTTCTTTCTGTTCTCCCAATGTAACTGCTCCCGCAGATACGTGTAAATTTGTATACACAGTTGGAGTTAACATGAGAATGGTATCTCTCGACTTTTGATTTCACCAAAGAGCATGTTCGATAAACGGGAACCAGCTTAGCTGCAGGATGAATTCTGGCTAGTGACATATCCAAACTTCTTTTGATTATTACTGCAATATTATCACCTTTAAAATCAAGTTGAATGAGGATAGGCTTTTTTTTCCAACTTTTACTTGTTTGATGTGTTTGAGCCTTCACATCCTCCGTACTTGTTAATGAACCTCTGAGGGTAACTGTTGTTTTCAACATCTTTCGAGAATCAGAAATTCTTATCTATCTGTATTTGTCTTGTGCTAAAGAAGATAGTATATAAGAAAGCGCAGACAAAATCAACCCATGGAAAAAATGTGTTTACGACACTGTGTCTGCCTCCCCCTGCCCTATATTTATCCTATTTGTCTATCCATCTCTTTTCAACTTTAACTTATAGATTTAATGATAAATGCAACTATGCACAAGTTTGACACTTGTGTGAGATGATTCATCGATTTAGTCACGTGACAGTTTTTTTAAGTTTGTATACGAGTGGTTTTACTGCACCTGTTAAATTCCAATTAGGGCTATGGAATCGGTTTACACCGTCGTCTAGATTTTCGGATATAAATCGTGAAGTGATTTAACTCTCTCTGAATATTCCTTTTTTGATAAGTTGCGCCATTCCTAACGAATTTGGGATCCACTACAATTTATCATGTCTAGTTAAATCACTAGCAATCTCTCTGTCCTACGCTTGCTTTATGATAGACAGCAGACTTTGATCATAAGATGCTAGAGGTGTACGGAAACCCATAGCTGAATAGTGATCTGGTTGAAATTTGAGCGCTAATTAGTGTGGATAATTCAGTCGATGTATTTATGGATTTTCACCAACTTGAGTGATTGGTTGGAGTATTTCTCGCGACAACGTACCTTGGCTAACTGGTTAGGTGAACAGTAGCAGGCAAGATGAAGTTTAAAAAACTTCGGAATTGAGTAGATCAAGCCATGAAACTAATCGATGGCTGCAAAGTGTCGTCTTGGTTTCCGCCTAACAACTGACGCCAATAGAGTCACTACAATCAATCTACAATTATCGTCTCATACGATTGCACTTCGGAAAACTGCATTACTTTCAGCGTATTTCTTAATTACTTTTTGAGAACGTAAAATTGGATATCAAGTGGGAACATACCAATCCGTTAGGACGTTAAACATGAAAGAAGCTTTTCACGTAACTTCTCTCGACTGAGATCCTTATAATCAACACTTCAATCTGACCTTTTTCACCTCGTTGATTATCTGTCATTTTGATCAGTAAGTCCTATATTTGGGCCATGTTTTGCGGTTGTCACTAAGGGTTTTGAAATTTAGGCGAAATAAATTTCTGTAATTCGATGATGAATTGAAGTCATCTGAGTGGTCTTGTGAAAACACGAATTTCTAGTCTAATTCTGCGCTGTCAACACTTTCTTAGTGAATGACATTCATCATTCTCTCTTGGGCTAATTTCCGACTGTCGGAGCATTTGCTTCAACCTAAACAAAACACAATACTGAAAGAATTTGAGTATTTAGAAATTGTGTTATCTTACCGTTCATTTGAGTCAAACTTTCAAAGGAAATATTACTTTCTCGTAATTTTTGATATTCATTCAACTAGGCTTATTTTAAATATCCAGACTCTAAAACATTCAGGGGTTACTACATAAACAGGTAATGAGGATGTATTGTGCTCAGTTCAGCACTTTAATACATGAATGAATTTTCAATTTTTAAAGTTAAACTACTCACAAGTAGTTCAAATCACAATGTATAATTTCTATGGAACCATAGTGTTAACGAATAATAGAGTAAGAAGCCGTCTTGTTCCCCACCACTAAACTAATCACCTCACAACCTACTCTTCTCTTATTACTTAATTTATTTATATGTATTTTTTCAAGATCTTGAGACTTTTAAGGACTAGACCCACCTTTCGATACATTTCTTTAAGTGACACTCCCTTATGCTCTGTAGTCACCTCCATGCTACCTGCATTATTATCACATACTGTTAATTTTTCTTTTTTTGTCCCTTTACATGCTCTTACGTCAGGCAAATTATTAATTTTAAAAAATGCCAATGAACATTGGACACACTCCCTATTTCAATAATTCTAGGGGTGAGCATTATTAAGTCTATACTAAGGTCGTGTGACGTGAAAGACGTTCAGAAAAATTGGACGTTAATGACAGCTCTTGGAGATAAGTATCAAAATAAATGCACTAAGTAGTATGATATATTGATAACAGTTGCTCTTGGAATTATATCTAAGGTAGAAGGAGGGAATTGAGAAGTTTCTTTTGTGTACATAAGTCATGATTTTCTATCCGGATCGCTAAAGCTTCAGCAATGCAAAGTATACGGAAGTATATCGTTTTGGAGAAGCCTCTTTTGACCTTGTGAGTAACTGTGAATGGACTTCCCACACATACTGAGTAGTGGCCGGTGTTAAGTGCGTGTTCAATTATAGCACCCATTATGATCTCTCTTTAACTGAGTCCCTTGACTCTTTTAGATAAAACATGTATTGAATGACTTATATATCTCGCTCTGCAGGAGCAAGTGAATATATATGTATATATATAGTCACATCTCAACTGGTTTTTTTATGGCTTGATAAGCAAATGCATTATACAAATACATTTGGTTTTTCCACAAATATCATGATTACATATGCTAAATAACCTAACCTTTTGTAGCATTTATCTTTTTGTATTTCATTCATTCAAACAGTATATACATCACAGACATATATCTTCTCTTTGGGTATCGTTAATACCGCATTTCTTTTCTCTTGTAGATTTTAAAGGCTAGTATTGATAAAACTCCACAAATATCTGACCATCCCGAACAATCCTCCTCATTCAATGATTCTAGTCGTAAATTAACTGGTGAACGTCAGTTTCAGGAGGCAATCATCAATACAATCGCTGAATTCGCTAAAAATCTACCAGATACACAAAAGATTGAAATACTGAAATTTATATTGAATTTTGAACCTATGGTGAAGTAAGTATTATATATACTATATAATTCTGTAGTCTTTTCCTCTATAACAATTTTTCCGTTCAAGTCTTCAAATGTAGGAAGTGATAAATCTTATTGTAATCTTCCTTCTTATAGCATTCGTCTGATTACACAGCCTTGTAACTAGTATAATTGGACAAACTGAGTCGACATCCTTCCCCATGGGATTTGAACGCAAAACCGCTTACAATAATATGTTATCGGAAACAATTCTCCCGGTTAATACCTCTTTTTCATGAATCACTGGGAAGAATCCAACCCCTATATTATTAAAACACAATCTTGATATATTATGAGCACCAAGAGATGCACCACACAAGATCTTACAGTTTGTGCGAGGTCGTGAGGGGCAGTCTCTCCAGCCTTCAACTTGAAGTATGATCTACATAGTAGCGTCAGTAGATATTTTCCCATGGTTATCGGTAACCAAACTCGGTCTATTCGCCATTTGATCCTTTTGGATTCTGGAACCCGTGTATACCATAGGTTTGGAGTCAGGATTTTCCAACTCACCTGGCTAGGCCTCCTTGTGCACCAGAAGTTTGCATTCTCCTTCCCATTATTGTGAGAAAGGCAGTGAATAGCACTTACGTGGTAGAGGCTTTCAATGCGTGGCTACACGAGAAAGCATTTTACGAGGAAAACTGAAGTCTACCCACCCTCGACTGTACCAGGCCGTTTTGGGGCACACCCCTGGAAGAAATGGGGGAATAAGTGATTATCTAAGCTTCTTACTTTGTATATGTGTATACGCTTGTGTTACATATGTAAAGTTCGAATGAACACAATGTTTAGGCCCTTTTTTCAGACAATCAGAATGTTTACATTATCACTTATAACCGTCTAGTGTATTCAGTCGTCCATTTGATAGTTACAAAATATCCTTCAACTTTTTAAATTTATGTTTGTACACAATTTTTTTTCTCTCATTTCAGTTATCATCCAGAATATGGTGATCGACCGAAACCCTTAATTATGGTCCTGTTGCAAACTATGCTAACTGTTGCTACCCAATATAAAACAGTGGCTATATCGAATGCATTAAATTCCGATTTCTTGAATCTTTTATTACGTGGTGTTGCGATTGATCCAGATCCTGTGATACGTATAATTGTACAGAAAATATTGCACACTTTAATTGATCGACATGGGAATACAGAACAACTATTAACTGTTCGGTAAGTCATACATATATATCGTTTGTCTTCACTGAGAGGTAAGTTCAAGAAAAGACCTGAAAACTAGTGAACATGTGGGTACACTCTTCTCGTGTAGACAAGACGGAGGTCGAAATCTGATAAGCGTTTATTCTGTAGGTCTGGTAGATGCAGAGTGTAACTAATCAACTACATGTGAGTGAATTGATTTATTGCTACCCATACCCTATTAAGAGGTGACATGGTTCACTTGTTATCCGTATATATAGCCCTCCTAATACTGCATTCAGCTTTGAAATGGTTGGCTCAACTACCACTTGTCTATTAATGTTATTCCCTTCAAGTTTATCATTAAAGGCTGATAGGCTGACTGAAAAGCTCGAGGTTTTTTTTTTGAAGAAAAAAAGAGGTGTTTTCATCAAGCTGTCTTTAACTTCGATTGTTATGCGTGAAGATATTTCTGTATAATTGTATAATTTTAATGATAGTGAACTTTTTTCACTATATACTGTACAATAAATGAAAACAATATTGGCTTAGATAGTTACTTGGACAATAGAACTGTGCTCATATACACCTACACACCAAAGAGACAATATCTGCTCACAGTCACTCATAACATAATTGTACGTGACTATTGGATTGTTGTAGTCATTATTAGTTGAATATTTATGAAAATGCATGAACATTGTATGAAATAATTAAGTAATAGTAGCAGTAGTAGTAGTAGTAGTAATAGTAACATTAATAAAAGAAGTAGTGCAATTGGTTCATTGATCTATTGACAAGAGAAAATATGTGTGTGTCTGGTTGAAAATGCTTGAATACGGCAAATATCTCTCACTGCCTTTTGAGAACTAACAAACTTATCTATGTATGTATACACTAAGAGTTAAAACGAAGTACAGACTATGGAATTATATTTCATTTCTCTATGATAAGTATGTTTTTTCTTTCTTCAGATCTATAGCAAATTGTATCACTTGAATAAGGGATTAACACTGATATTAGTCACGACTCAAATTTCATGCGATCTGAGTAACAAGTAGGGTAGAGGAGTTTGATTATTGTTGTTTTATTATTATAAAGCAGCTACTCACATTTTGTTTCAGTGTGTAAGTCAATCCTTTCAAAATAGTGAATGATTTCTATTCGTATACAGTCGGAAGTTATGATCAATATGATGTGGTATTCTTTTGCAGTTGACAGAAGTGGACTAGCCGGATAATGGTTGTGGTTAAACTGGAAATCTTGCCGTGGCCTTGATCTTTTGTCTCTATTATTAGATTAGCGCCAACCAGTTAAGATAGTGTAACAATAGGGCACATCATCGTGTGTGTGTGTATGTGTGTAGGTATGTCAAGCCTGCAAAACATAAGTAGTTATCCCTAACGTGCATAGAATAGGACAAATCTTGGAGCTAATTTACTGTGTTTGAAAGTTACCCTGTCACTATACTGGTACCTTGCCCTTCTCCTATAATTTCATCTGTGTCTTCGCAGCCTAACAGCTCAGTTCCGCAAGTTAAAAAAAGCCGTACTTCATGTTATAGTTATACATTCATATATAGTGTTTGTCTAATCGACTGAGTGATACCACTAGCCGTCACATAACAAGTGTGCTTCTAATATGACCCATTATTATAAATATATATATATATATATATAAATCATCCTTTCTCACGAATCATATGATTTGTCTTGTGATGGTGTTACTATGTGGATCAGTCTATCATTTCTCACGCATATTGTGATTCAGTGTGTGTGAACAATTCATCATCTTTTGTTTCACCTTGGTCTTTGTCTCATCACCAGTCAACCAGAATAGACATATCCAACCTGTAAGTACAGTCCATTCCCACGGTTTTGAGTCAACTGTATTGTGATAAATTAAATATATGAATATGATGTTTTGTTTCCTAATGGATGTACAATACAATGTCCTACAGTCACAGGCTAGCTTTTGTCTTTTGATATATGCGTGGCTGAGGGAATCGGAAGGCAAAGGGACAAATAGACGTATTAGTGTTCATTACCGTTATAGTAATTAACAAAGGCAGACATAAAGCGACGGGGTTAATTCAGTTCATTACAGTTCAGTTATAACACCTGATACATGAAAATGTGTTCCGAGTAGCTAAGTTCAAACAACATACGATGTGTAGTTGGACGTTTGCATTTATTCCTTGTTTCGCATCTTATGTTAGTCAAACAACAGATGTAAAGCATTAGATGGTTGGAGGCAATCGGCAGGAAGCCTTGGACCTAGGTTTGTGCTAGTTGGCATTCGTCAGCAAGGCGTATCTACAACCTTGAAGGAACTCATGTCCCTTCCGAGATTCGAACACGCGTCACCCAGTGAGGACTGCAGTCAGAAATGTTACCACTGAGCTATTCGGATTCGCAATTGACCTCCTGTAGGACTGTAGAGGATATTTTGATTGGACACTAGTAACTAGTGTGATGTATCTAGTCCTTTCTCTGGTGCAGACTGAATTCTCTCAGTCACCATTCTAGGTAGCTCGCCATCACGGTGCACATTGATTTGATGATATTAGGTGGTTGGAGTTAATCGGCAGGAAGCCTTGCACCTAGGTGTCATGCTAGTCGGCACTCGTCAGCAAGGCGGTGGCCACATTGCAAACCTGACTGATAGAATTCAGTCTGCACCAAAGAAAGGGCTAAACACATCACACTAGTTACTAGTGTCCAATCAAGATGTAAAGCATGTTTTAAAATATTGAACTCTGTAATCTTATTGCATTATATACCGTCTTTTTAAAATGTAGAATTCTCTGTTTATTACTCAGGATAAATAATATCAGAATAAAACTTGTAGACTGTCTGCCGTGCAGTATTATTCTGCAATAAAACTGAGTTATTTGATTTAACACAACTGTATTGAATAACAATCACTAATCACTATTAACGAGAGAAATTTTGAAGGAAGTCACCACTTTCACTTATCTAGACAGCATCATTTCAACTATACACGCGTCAATGATGAAGATGTTAACGGCAGGATCGAAAGGGCAAAAACCACCCACCTTCATTAATCTTGAAATCAGTGAGGAAGTCTACTGCACTAAGCATAAAGTACAAGATTCGAATTTTCAACATTAATGTTAATTTTAGTTCTTCTGTATGGTGGTGCATCACGAAAAGCATTCGCAACAGTTTGCTGCAGACTTGTATCAACAACTGCCTTCTCTCCATACTGAAGATCAGATGACCGAAAAGAATTAAAAACAAGAAAGCAACTCTGGTAACAAACCAACCAAGAACTTATTGTGCGATAAATATGCCGAAGGAAATGCAGATGCATTGGACACACGCTGTAGGAGACTGTTGGGTGACATCGCACGCCAGACCCTTGAGTCGAACCCGAATGGGAAACGATGATTTAGGCGTCCGAGGGTGATATGGTGGAGGTGCTGCTGTTAGCCATATGTTCCACTGGGAACCTAAACGAATTATGATAATAATATTTGTGAAATTAATTACCTACTCATTCCTGTACCTATGATCGAGTGTGTGTCGTTTCATCAATCTTCACCAGTTGTGTTACAGCGTTACTAGTCTACTTACTGTACGCTTTACTTTCGATTACCACATGCGTCTTTTATCAGCACCGTGAATAATTTAAACTACTAATACCGATAAGTGCGTCGATGGTTCGGTGGTAAAAGACTGACCAACCACGCAAGTGGTCCAGGGTTCGATCCCTGGCAGACGCACTTCTAAACCTCGCTTAGCCGGTGGCAAGCCCGGTAAAGAGGGAAACTTGGAGGTCGGGATAGTAATCCTACCTCGTAAAAACAACACCAGTACTACTGAAACTTCAAAGCTCTAGCTTAAAACCCTATGTTCCATTAGGGGTGCCAAAAATAAAATAGGTATTTATTGGCTTTCGTATATACTCTCAAGCTTTCTTTCTTGTAAACACTTTCATGAAGATACCTATTGGTAACTGACTCTTTGTGTTGCTATCCTATGAATATTTGAATGGATATTGCCTGTAACGATACATTCAGTCTGCCATTCGTCTAACCTTCTCTTCAGCATATGTATTATTGATATAAGTATAAAACTTGGCCACTGTGGTAAAGTATAACTCCATTATGGATAGGATTATATTTTGATAAATCACACAGTGTTCACACACACAGCATTCAACTTCCATTCACTGTCTACACCATTATACAATATCATCATGTGGCAACAGATAATTATGAAGTAAAGTATTAATAAAAATCTAGTTTTGTGATCAACTTGTCAATCACCAGTTTTAATCAAATAAATACTGTTTAGTACAGTACACAGAGCAGAGTGCATAACTTCAAAAAAGACTTGGTCACGAATCCACATCAATTAGGTGGCCATTATAAAATCAGAGAACTTACCATTGCTGTTTGTTTTTCTAGTTTGAGATTTTTTTTAAACAGATTACATCCACAACACCTCGTGTGAAGGATCCAGTCAATCACTTAGTCGGTCACTTGGAGAATGTGTGGTCACATAGATGCTTAACTGTAATCCCCAGTGGCCTTATGATTCCCAAATTCTTTTAATTCGTATTTTATAACATTTCTATCATCCAGTGTCTTTGATGAATAACTTGGTGAACTTTACTGGTCACGGCTTATCGACAGAACTATCATCAACTCTGACTGAATCACTGTTCACTGTTACTATGTCTTTATAATTCTCTTTCAACAATGTTTACATTCGCAATAGTAAATTCTTATTAAGATTTTGGCGTTTTTCTTTTCTTTTTCCTCTCTTTTTTATAGAATCTATGGTGAAAATGAGTTGCGTAATTACTTCATCCTTGAAAAGCCTGAAAGACAAGATATTCTTTTTATGAAAAAGGTAAGCCTTATTTATTTCATGAGTAATCCAGGCATTATTGAGAAAAAACGTAGTTCAGAGAAGAGTCTTTTTTCGGCGAATTCATTTTCTTAGCCGTATAATCGCAGTATCTTGTATCTATGTGTACATTAAATTTGGTTACAGGATTTCACCATGAGATGACATCGGTTAGAGAACCTGTGCGTCCTGGACAGTTGTTTCGTCCTAATTCCTGGGACTCTACACCAATACTCACCCACCGCCGGGATTCTGACCGAGGACCTTCCAGTTAGAAGACAAACTCGTAGACCATTAAGCCACTGAGAACCGATGTAACGGCCCGTGAATTCCAACTTCTGCCCATTCACGATATTGCGCGACTGAAACTAGCCAATGTCATTACTGACGAGCATTTATCCTCACACCCTACCTGCCTCACCCTTCTGTTCATGACTTCCCACTAGAACCCCATGTAACTACCTACCTGAATAGGATCAGTCGCTAGTGAGCTAGTGGTTATGGTTATTTTAACTAAAGGGGTGAGAATCAGTATATATATATATATATATATATATATATATATATATATATATATATATATTAGCTGAACTAACTGCTTACATTTACTAAGTTACTCCTTTTGTTTAACCTCAAAGAGTTAACTGATAGTAATACGCATAACAAACGGATGTGAAATTTTATTTTACCTACTTACGGGTCTTGACATAGAACTCTGCACAGAAGTGCAGAAGTTCAAGCTCCCACACTTCTTAAAGCCCTCAAAGGAGTTTTGGAAGAGCAATAATTAGCAGAAACACATAATAGTGACGTGAATAAAGGAGATCACAAAGAATGAATGCATCTGTGCCACTGAGAACGACTTCGAGCCATATCATCAAGTTGTCTCCAGCTATTGGTTCTTAGAACCCCAAGCAGACAGTCTATACCTTCCTACGTGGCTCTAACTAACTGTCAAAGATTTCATGGAATGATTCCGAGTCTTATGTTGACCACCACTATCTCTTTACCAATCTGATCTTATACCAGCTAACATTGGCCATTGTCGAGTAAGGCCGATGGCTAGGGATGCGTAACACATCCTAGCCATCTCAATCGACGTAGTTTCACAACCTTATCGATTGACTTTTGACTCCTAATCGCTATATTATCCTCCTATTACAGCACTTAACACGGTATATAGAACGGAGACACCTATGATCAAAGACAGCTAACCTTTTCGTATTTTTCACTTGCATTGGCCATGTCTCAATGCTGCTCGGTACACTTGTCCTTTCATCGATAGACGGATATCACGTTTATCCTATAGCTGGCGTAAATTGTTTCCCTGTTGAGATTTCGTCAGTAATCAGTCCGTAAGAGCTGATGCAACTTCCCAAGTAAGTGAAGTAGTCAACACACCCTACCACTTCATTCCTTATCTTTAAGCTAGAAGTCGTAGTCCAGTCCTGCAACATCATCTCACATTTGACCAGGGGCAAATCGCACGCCAAACATACCAAGAATTCCGCTTAAAGTGTTCAAAAGGCTCTGCATTTTATTATTTTACTTCATGTTCACCAACTTTACAGACGTCCTTATGTCTTACTTCCATGAATGTTGGTGGTTCACTGGTAGAATCCTCCCTCACCAGCCATTCCACATGGTCTGGGTTTGAATTCCGGCAAACGCACTCCTGAACTTTTCTTAACTGGTAGAGTAAGCCTGAAAAAGGGGTAGGGTTGGGCGTAAAGCTAGCAATGGCATCCCATTAAAAAAAAAAAACTACACCGCTACGGAAACTTTGAACGGCAAACCTGGAAGAATGGACAACATATCTATCTTCCATGAATGTTAGTATTTGATAGTGCAATAGATGTTTATCGGCTGGTCTTTTTATCTTGTAGTGATCGGTACTAATTTGCTTTCGTTTGACATGTTAACCAGCGATTTATCGGTAGTTAGACTCTTTCGTATGATAGCAGAGCAGCCAACTCTGGTTTTGGACTTCTGCTCATCCTTGTCATAGTAATCTATTGTGCTACTGAATTCTGATAATAAGTAGCTTAACAAGTCTCACTTCAATATTCACTCATGATCAAACGCCATGATAATTTATACCACATGATATTATCAACCGTAACTACATAACATTTCTAATGCTATTTAGTGTAGGCATAAATTTAACCCATTATTTATGACGTCTAAGGTAATAGGTATTTATTATTATTATTATTCCGTTGCTGAAATCAATGACGGTCAGATGATCATGATGATGATGACGATCTATAATTAACTTTGTTCAACCACCAACACCATTCTGACTCTTATCTGCTGATCTGCAAATTTTTACCTACTCTGTTGACTTTTTTGTTTATTTTCTCTCTGTCATAATCAATATCATAATAATAATAATAATGATAACAATAAAAACTGGTGAAATTCCATTCCATTCATTTGTAAACATTTAATGATCACCATGAATAATATATGTAAACATTTACAACTATTGATGATTATTTTCTTACAAAACCAGCTTGTAATTTGCAGATTTATTTTTAGGTAATAACACTGTGTGCGTCAGTGGCATAGCGGTTAGGACGCTCGCCGATCATGCACATGGTCCGGGGTTCAATCCCCGGCCGACGCACTCCTTTACCTCGCTAGGCCAGAAATAAAAGCTGGTAAAGAGGAAAGGTTGGGCATGTGGCTAGCAACCCCATCTTGTAAAATAAACACTGCTACAGAAACTTCAAGCCTCTAGCTTGAAGCCCTATGTTCCACTGGGAACGTGAAGGAATATAAAAAAATAACACTGTGTATTGTTGGTACCCACACTGACATTGGCTCAATTCACTCAGTCATCGTTAGAAAAGATAAGAAACAACACCAAGAGTAGACTACAAGCGGATAGAACAGTCACGCGCAGACAGACAACCAACATATATATAGTGTAGAAACAATGTTACCCATCAAATGTTCATGTTGTATCCACATTCAAACAAAAAGTGTTCATTTGAACCCCTAGTGAGTATTATAATATAACCTTAGGAATTCTCAGTTACAGGAGAGTCGTCGATTCAGCTTTATGAAAGGCAGTTTTTCTTGTTAACAACTCTGTTGACATCTTTCTTGTTACATTGGTGTTTGTCTTTCTCTTTTTTTATAGACTGGTGTGCTGTTCATTGAAAATATTTATCATCAGTTATTGGATCCTACTAATAAAGTTGATAACTTAGAATATCTGTCATGTACTGTTGGTTTAGTTGCATTGGAAATGGGTGCAGAACAGGTGAGTGTTTTTTTTTCTTTTAATTTTCATTAATCTTGTTAATCTGTTTTTGATTGGTTAATTCTGTTATTGAAGTGGAAAAGCTGAGCTTATGGAGCATTTGTAGGCATGACTAACCTGATGTACGTTAGCGGCAATAATGATTGGACTATTATCACTGACTTGTGGTTGTCCTCCACAACCTGGATTTCGCGGATGACTTATGTTTGATGTCACACAAAATCGAAGACTTATAAGTGAAAACCGACAAACTGGTCGAAGAAGCAGCAAAGACGGGACTCCAAGTGAACATAGACAAGACGGAGGTTATGAAAATAACCAACCAACAACAACAACAGCAGCAGCAACATCCAGCGCCAATCACCATCAACGGGAGGGATTTGAAAGAGGTTACTTCATTCACTTATCTAGGGAGGGAGCATTGTCTCAACTACAGTTGGAATGGACGTGGCTGTCAAATCAAGAATCGGGAAGGCGAGAAACACATTCATCAACCTGAAACCAATCTGGAAATCTTCCGCTGTCACTCAGCATCAACAACAAAGTGATTCGGATTTTCAATACAAACGTCAAGTCAGTCAGTTCTTCTATACGGATCAGAAACTTGGCGGGTCACAAAGAATATTTCCAACAGCCTGTTGCAGACCTTTATCAACAACTGTCTTCGCTCTATACTGAAGATCAGATGGCCGGAGAGAATCACCAACAAGAAAGTATGGGAACAAACAAAACAAGAGCAAGCCGCTCAACAAATATGCAGGAGAAAGTGGAGATGGATTGGACACTCGCTGAGGAGGCCGTTGGGTGACATCGCGCGTCAGGCCAGTGCTCGATTGGGACGTCCAAGGGTGACATGGAGGAGATCGTGCGAAGAGGAATTGAGATAGCATAGATTAACATGGATGCAGGTGAAAAGTACAGCAGAAGACAGAAACAAGTGGAGGCGTGCAGTTGAAGCCCTATGTTCCACTAGGAACCCAATGGAACAATAATAATAATAATAAATTATCACTGACTTGATGTCAGTAGTCTCACTTCGACTTGCATAACGTTATGCCAGGTATTATATAAAATAAATCGTAGATATAAAATGAATCTTGTCCTCGATGTAGTAAAGTTACAGAATAATAGATCCAGCAGATTGGTGATGGTTTTTCAAATATTGAGGCCTTCTAGCCTGTTCTGAGTACTTATTCTTAATGGTAACTGCTGGAAAATGCAGTTAGACAGTATATGATTCTACTGATGATGATGGTTATTCACAGGTTATTGTTTCAACACAATGGCTGATATTCATTTCAAACAGAATTCGTAGTCGATAGCATAGTCGGTTACATTTGTGAATCTGTTTTTGACAAGGTATGATAGGATAGAGTGCAGAAATGAAATGGAATCGAATGATCAGCGTTATCAATATTTCTTTTCAATCTGTTGTATACTGTGACTGCTATGAAGATATGGCTGATTGATTTATGCACTCGACTTCAAACTAATGGCTCCCAGATTCGAATGTCGCTTCACCGACTTCAAGTTGGGCTTTTTGGGTAGTATCATCAGCTCTTAAACAGTGTGACTTGGTGACTGAGTTCTAACTAGCATACTATAACTCTTGCTAAATGTCATTAGAGAGATATACATCAACCACTTGGAATTCTATGCAGTTGGGTGAGTGCTATTAATTATACTCCCTGGCTACCTAGACCTCGGTACGCGGAGCGGGATTAGAATCTCTTACCCAGTGGTTGAAAGCTGAGTGCCTAAACCAATGAGCCACGACTCTTTATAGCTCTGAAACACAGTCATTAGAAGTAAAGGACTGGTAGAGGCCAGCTGTCTTTGGTCACAAATGCTTGCTCTAAGTGGTATAATATAGTGGGTAATATTGATGTAAGGTTCAAAATGTTAGGTAAGAAAGGGCTATTCAATAGACCAGGTTGTGAGGCTTCACGATATGACATGGTTATGGCACTTGTTACGCATGTCAGCTGACATAAGAATAAGTCGGGAAAGAGTTAAAGATGGTCGAATCGAAACCTCTCATCAGTCCATGAAGTCTTTGACAGTTGGTTTTTGCCAAATAAGGCTGTACAGACTGTCGTGCTAGGATTGTCGAGACTCTTGAAACCAATGACTAGAGATTGTCGGTGATATGGCTTAAAATCGTTCTCAGTGGCGAAGATGCATTCATTCTGTGTAATCCCTCATATCTACTCAACAGTCATGTTCTTCCATGTCACTATTCTTTCTTCCTCACATTTCTGCTTATTACGCTTCTTTTGGATCTCTCTTTTCTCTTTGTTTGTGTGCTACATGGAGAGTTTGGCAACTTGAAGTTCTACACTTCCGTGCAAAGGTGTATGTTGAACTAAAGTCTGTAATGAGTATGCATTCTTATTTCTTAACTATACTGAGTTGACTGACAGACAGATACGCTATTGTTTTTCTTTCCCATCGGAATTCGGTATATACATAGTGAACAGTGAGTTTCATTGTCCAGTAGTGAAACTTACTTCTCATTATTTGTTTCTACTTTCTTTTACTCTTCTTTCTTTGCATGCATAGGTTATCACAGAGTTGTTTCGTTTAATATTAGCCGTTCAAACTAAAATTATCGACGAGAATACATATATGCCATTGACGCATCGATGCGCTTTACACGCTTTACTAGCTAGTACAATATCATTAATTGTCCAATTAATTAATCTTCAATCGCTTAGTGAACATATTTATACTGTAAGTGTACTTTTTTTATTATTGTTGCTGTATTCAAAACAAACTGATATTTTAATATAATCATGTGATTTACATGTATGGTGATGAAATTTTGCAAACACCTTTTGCGAATTTATTTTTCTGTCGTAATTTTACAACCTGCTCACAGTTGTGAAGTACTTAGCTACGAGATTGATTTCCTTATGTTCTGATGGGTAGTCATCATATATGTATATCAGGGGAACTGATGAGGATATCAAAGCGAGGATCGGAAAAGCAAGGTAAGCTTTCATTACTCTCAAGTCCGTGTGGAGATCAACAGCACTCAGCATGAAAAGCAAGACCCGGATTTTCAACTCCAGTATAAAGTCAGTGCTACTATACGGATCCGAGACTTGGCATGTCACGAAGGACACTTTGAACAAACTACAGACCTTCATCAACAGCTGTCTTCGCTCAATACGCAAGATCAGATGGCCAGAAAAGATGAGCAACAGGGATCTCTGGGAGCGAACCAACCAAGAACCGATTGTGCAACAAATATGCAAGAAGAAATGGAGATGGATTGGCCATACTCTGAGGAAACCATCAAGTGACATCACTAGACAAGCCATTGCTCGAGTGGAACCCGGACGGGAAGCGGCGAGTTGATCGTCAGCGCGAGGGTGACATGGAGGAGGTCATGTGAACAGGAGATGAAAACATGTGGGCAGATGTGGAGCCAGGTGAAAACATTGGCAGAGAACCGAACGCAATGGAGATGTGCAGCTGAAGCCCTATGTTCCTCTAGGAACTAAAGGAAACAATAGTAATATAGGGTCGTTATCAGTTTAATATTATGAACTATCGTATTCTATCTAGTCTAACACCTGAATGGCGTCTTTTTGACAGTCTATCAGTCACACAATCACGAGTTCTTGCGGTGATGCAAGGATTCTATAGTTAGGAAGAACGGACTGTATGTGTTGCCTTGTGTTTGCTTTTTACCGATAGCTGTTTAACTGAAGTCAGTCAGATTTCGCAGTTGGATTAGAGTGATCAGCAGTTAATAAATAGGAATACCATTCATCCAGATCAGCTGACTGACTGTCTTACTGAAAGTTATGTTATTCAAATCAGAAGTTTAAAAATAGTTGTTTGCTTTCATTGCATATTATCCTCTGGTATACAAAGGTTTGTAATGAGTGAATAACTCTCAAGGTGTTTAAATAAACGTGTATTTACCTCAAAAAAGTATCCTATGCTAAATCTGCTAACCGCTACAATTTATATGATATACCAGACTTCAATCCATTTGTATTAACAACCTTGAATGAGGAAGATCTCTATCCCTTCGCTATGCCTGTGTGCTTAATAAATATCCCTACGAACTGGACCTATGTGAAATTATGTTTAGCATGTATAATTTGTGTTGCTTTTGCATCATTAGTAAAGCTCCCTAGTCAAGCGAATATGTATATAGCTGCTCAAAGTGCTATTAAGCGTTGAAACGGGGTAGTGTGAATACTTCGATATATACTACTTTGGAGATTCAAATGAGAATACAGGCATTGTTTAGTGAATTTAGATGATGTTTAGCACTATATCATATGTTATCAACTCAATCTTTTTGTTTAATGTTTAAAATATCCTATAATCAATGTCATATCCCACAAACTCTGTTGCCTAATGTAAAACTGTCTTCCCGCTAGTTGATAATGCACTATCTGGTATATCGATTTTTTTGGTTGGATATTCACTTCTTTTTATTTGTGTATACGTTTGTCTCTTAGGTTATTCAACGTAGACGGGATACATCGCCTTGGTTATTACCGTCGGTTGCATTTAATAGGACGAACACTGTTGACAGGTATGCATTTCTAGATTTTTTTTATTCCTTCACGTTCCCAGTGGAACATAGGGCTTCAAGCTAGTGGCTTGAAGTTTCTGTAGCAGTGTTTATTTTACAGGATGGGGTTGCTAGCCTCATGCCCAACCTTTCCTCTTTACCAGCTTTTATTTCTGGCCTAGCGAGGTAAAGGAGTGCGTCGGCCGGGATCGTACCCCGGACCATGTACATGGTTGGCGAGCGTCCTGACCGCTATGCCACTATGCATATTTTTTGTTTACTGCTTTCTCCTTTTCGATTTCAGCAAAATGATGTTGATGATGCTTATTAGGTTTGAATGCGGACACTCTTTCACTCTACTATTCTCTTTTTGTCGTTTCATTGCAATCTATTTCAAAACGGGCACTCACTCTGAAAGAAGCGTAAAGCATATCTGCTTAATTTCTGAACTATTGTCTGTGGTAATTGAGGTAGGCTCATTAATGCATACCTGCTCACAACCTCCACACCAAATATGCTGCAATGCTAATTTGAAAGGAAGTGGAGCATAGCATAGATCTAGGTATAATCACCAATCTATCTATAAAGGTGAAATTTATTGTTATTATTATTATTATTAATTATGCGATTTGTGCAAAGACAAATAGTGTAGGTCCGCAAAAAAAACAACCGGGAGCAATTTGTTCCAGAGCTCAGAATCAGTTCCAGTGACGCAAATCGGCTTACATTTCTATTCTCATTGCTTTTTTAAGATAATATTTCTTCATCTGTTTCCCTAATATGTTACAAATTTTTTATAGATTTTGTTTATACACTTATGAGGCACTATCAGCATGCGTTCTAACTGTGCTATGTTGTGTGTAGTAGTTCAAGTTGTTGTTACGTATCGTATGACTTCTATTAATACTGTTCTCATTTCTACTTCTTTTGTCGCATATATGTATATATATATATATATATGTATGTTTGCGCGAACAGCGGAATAACATACCAAATTCAATTATTTATATTTCGCCTTCATTTCTCACTTATTGATGTTACGGATAGGTGATAATAGAAAAAAATTTCGGCAACTTTTTCCGTCAACATCGATTTCTATGGTGTTGTCTTTATTCACCTATTCAATTATAGGGTGTTTAAAGGTTTCTCCAATGCAGTTATGCGCACCTGCCTTTTTAGTTTTTTTGTCTTGAAAGGCGGGTTTTTTTGTACTAAAAAAAAAAGAGAATACCACTTGTGTTTGCATGTCTCTCTTTAACACAATACAACTTACTATTTTTGAATTCCTGACTTGTATTATTGATTAGCAGTGATTATACAACAATTGATGATAGTCTCTTTCGACTACCGCACTCATATGAAACAAAGGCTATTGGAGACACTTTTAGTTGGTCAGTTGGTGCAGGCATTCACTCCATCCCGTTTTCTCTGGATAATGGCTAAACTTTATGAAGGGAAGACTTATTTTGGTTAAATTTTAGGGTATAGCCAATTTGTGTAATATTAGTTTTTGTGTATGACTAGTCAAATCAGAAGTGAAGCCCATTTTTGTTGGGAGGCTTATAAACAATTCATTTTGATGTATATTTCATCATGGAGAAGTATTGATATTCAGGCATATCTAAACACTGTTTTTAATAAATTACGACCCAAATGACTGGACGCTAATGGTATTCACTATGAAAAATGAATGCTTCCAAGGTCGATTCTTCGTGTGTTGTACCCTTCAATAAACACTACCGAAGTTGGTCAGAATGCCACACACTGACCACACGCTTAGTCCGGCCTCGAATCTTGGAAGATACACTCTGAAAACCCATCTAGCATACCAGCTCATACTAAGCTCGGGGAAGTTGGATGTCAGGCTATCAACCTACTGCTAATGCAACGCCACCTCTGCTGAAACTACAAAACGGCGCGCATCATTGTGTTCCACTTGAAATTCAAAGGAATGGAAAAATAAAGACTACCGAAGAATGTCGAAACATAACTAAGCAGCTGTCAAATTCTCTACCTTCTAAAGAACTGATCCCATCATCTCTATGTTGAATACTGTTTCTATTCGCCTGATCATTGTTGATCTATGTAGGTGATGTTTTAAACCACGATAATGTATATTGTGTAGAGGTAAGATGATGACTTCAAGTACTCCTTGCTGCAAGCTGCTGGGAAGCATTCCTTTTTTACGTGATTAGCTTGTTCACTTGTAGGTTTGACTTCACCATTATTCTTAGATTGCTATTGCGATTACCTAAACCTTGTTGATCCATCCTTGTAACCAGTCAGGTAATTTGTCCCTTGGAAGCCCTGCAGTCGATGGTTTGATTACAAATTGTATTTGTAGTACCGCTTACAGGAAATACCAATGTTTTTATTCCTATCTTTTGAGTCCTTTTAGTGGTATTCGGTTGCCTAATGTTTACCTACATAGCCAATGATACTTTATCATCTACTGAGTTCATATTCGCATTGTATTTATGACTTGACTTATGTATTAGCTGACTTATCTATCTCACTAGTTGATAGTGTGGCCGCCTAGACTCCTCTTGTAAGTCCAAACAAGCTTACCCACTGAACCGATATCGGAATACAGAACAACTATTCATCAGTACTTATCATGAAAATCCCTCCTTCTCTGGATATTTGATAAATTGACTTTCAATGCAATATATATGTTCAAGTGTTAGTTTGCGGGGATTTGATTTCATAATGGGCAGACAGAGGTTAGAGAACCATTGGGAAACCTGGGATCACTGGACAACTTTTTCGTCCTACCTTGAGCTCTTCATCAGTACGCAACGGCCCATGAATTCCAACTTCTTCCAATTCACGATATAGCGCGACTGTCACTAGCCAAAGTCATTACTGGCGAGTATTTTTCCTCACAGCCGACCTGCTGCTGCACCCTACTGGTCACGACTTCACACTAGAACCCAGGTAACTACCTGTCTGAATAGGGCCAGTCGCCAATGATATTCAGGTGTTGTTTTTCCAATGGTTCTTTAACCGATGTCAGCTCATGATGAAATCCTGTAATATGTAATGTGTTTTGAACAATTAACATATAACAAATCGTTGACAAAAATGGTATTTAACATTTCAGCTAATCATATCTGAACTCTTGTTTGAATAAAGCCTTGCCGCTTTAATAAGGCGACTAACAAGTGTTAAGCATCATTAGGCTTTTTTATGGGGAAGCATTGAGATCCCCAGGTTCAAAGACGCTATATGTAGGATAGTCTTTTTCAAAGTTTTTTTTGTCTAGTTATATCAATTGTAGTGCGTCGGTGGTATAGCGGTTAGGACGGTCGCCGACCATACACATGGTCCGGGTTTCGATCCCCGGCCGACGCACTCCTTTACCTCGCCAAGCTAGAAACAATGCTGGTAAAGAGGAAAGGTTGGGCATGAGGCTAGCAACCCCATCCTTTAAAATAAACACTGCTACAGAAACTTCAAGTCACTAGCTTGAAGCCCTATGTTCCACTGGGAACGTGAAGGAAAAAAATCAGTTGTGATAAAAAAACTCCTAAATATCTCACCACACCAGCAAACATGATGATATCCTGTTTTTTCTAGTGAGATCAGTTATGTGGAAAGTAAAACTTTATTAAATTACTAATAATTGCTGCTTCCTATTATGATAAATATGTTGAAATTATCTCTGAATAGTTTAGAATTTCTGTTCATTTTGTAATTGGTTTCGCTTGTGATTTTTTTTCCTAAAGTCGCTTTCACTCAGCTTATAAAATGTATCGTTTATTCATCTCACATACTCACTGGCGCATTTCTTTACTAGTTGTTCACAGTGTGTGGTATGTTTGAAAGTGTTTTTTCGGCATTCGACCACTTGTACACACATCAGTATGTATGTTATTTCAAAGAAACAGGTTTAAACAGGATCAATGCTGCTTGGTTGGTCATGACTGTATACGTACTTTGTGGAAATGAATCTCAACTTTGTCTATATTTCCTTATTCTCTCGACTAATCATAACAAAGAATGGCAAACATCATCACAGGGATAGTTTCGTTTCTTTGTATTCGTGTCATAGATTTTTTTTAATTATCTCAAACCTTCTGTTTTGATGAGTTGATACTTGTATTAATGTATCGGCTGTTGATTATAACAACAACGGAATTCTTCAAATGAACAAAAACCGATCCTGTGCTCTTGGAAGAGATCATTTTCAAGACAGATTTCTCAGTATTTCTGGCATGTCTTGACTGGTCCAGTCTGTCTCGTTATTTACTGTGAAGAGTTAGTAAGTGGTGATACAGTGAATAATAGCCTCAGTGTATCTCTAATTAATTAAAATTACAAAGATGTGGCCGTGGATTTGGATTCACTAACTGCGTAATGTGCTTCTATCCCTCTGTGACTGTTGACTGTTGATCTGATTCATGCGGGCAGGTGTAGATTGTCTTGTTTGAGTCTTTCGGAATCTCTTTGTCTTACAGCATAAAATCTTGCACAATATATACACATTTCTTCTGATTTTGTAAATCTTCATTTGATTGCCTCTTCTTCTGTGTTTCTTTTTTCATTGGACTCTTTTTCTGTTGCTGTTACGCGTATAGTTTTCCAAAGTGTGGCAACTTAAACGTATACATGTTCCTTGCAGTGTTCTACTTTGTAAAACCAGTCAATCTCCAAGGCTAAAATTTTGTTCTCCCCTGGTAAATAAATTTAATAATTATTAAATTGGATTGTTCACGTGTCATATCCATCAAAGGACATGTGTACCGGGCTCTGTCCTCATTTACGACTGTGAGACATGGCCACTGAAAGTGGAAGATACGTCTTTTACATTCTGTCTCTCGCTCTAAGTGATAAAAAAATGTGGTGAGCAATATTGAGGTTAGATGTAAAGTGGTAGGTAAGAAAGGGCATGCCAGTCGATCATCTTGTAAGGCTGCATCCATTGAGATGGCTAGGACACGTGTTGCGCATCTCAAGCCACCGCTTTTCTTGACGAGCATTGCCGACTGACACAGGCTTAGGCTTGAAAAAAATTTGGGGGGGGGGGGGTTATCAAATCAAAACCTGCAATTAACCTATGAAGTCTTTGATGGTTGGCTTGAACCATGTACAGAGGTGCAGGCTGCCTAGTCGGGGACTTTAGGATGCTAAGAACTAATAGCTGGAGACTATCGTTGATATGGTTCAAAATTGTCTTCACTGGCGTGTAGACGCACTCACTCTCTGTAATCTCCCAGTTCCACTAAACCCTCATGCTTTCCCGTTATACTGATCTTTCTCTCGCCTATTTCTGCTCTTTTCTCTTCGTTTATGTCTTGCATAGAATGTGACAACTTGGACTTCCGTGTTGAAACTCAATCTGACTGTAAATAGCATCCGTTACATTATCTAGAAAACTATTGAAAGTCGTCAGGTGGTTGGAGGCAATCAGCAGGAAGTCTTGGACATAAGTGTTTTGTGCTTGCTCGTGAGCAAAGAGTACCTGCAGGGTTGAAGGGACAGACTTGCGTCCCCTCTGAGATTCGAATCCAGGTCACCTAGTGCTGTACAGTTGAAGGAAGACCAGGCAACACTTGATAAACAGATAGTTTACTCACTTGAAATCGTCTCATGTCATGTTCAAATGCTGACTGATTCTTTGTTTTCTTTTTAAAATATATCAAATATTGTAATATATATGCTTTACTTATTCAATGTTGACCTATCTTCTACTCATATCTACAGCATGAGCAAATTTCTTTTTACCTTTCAATAAATTATCATTTTATAGCTATCCAAGTGAATTTGAAATTAACGATGATTTATTATTTTCATCAGTTAAAATAACTGAATCCTTATCCAATTCTGGTTATGATGTGACTGTCTTGTCAATACCATATAATCCAATCTATCTACGATTATATGATACTGGTCCACGGGATCCATTAGTCGATGGAGCATTGAATATGCGATCAGGTGGTGGTGGTGGTGGGATTGATCACTCGAATTATCCAACTGATTATTATTATAATGAACAGAAGAATTCACTTGTTGGCGATCAAATCATAGCTGGTCGTCTTAATGCAGTTTATCTGGATGGATTGTCGCATAGTCGTAAAAGTAGTCGTAAGTGATTTTGTCAATTTCCAGTGTGACATAACATGCCTTTTCTACCCTTTGTTATTTTTTTCATAATACTATAATTCTGCCATTCATGTTTTATAGCTTACAAAGGTTGGTTAGCGTATGGTGGTCTGGGATTCGATTTCTGGCCGACGCCCTCCCGAATCTCGCTTAATTGGTGGTATGTCCAGTAAAGAGGGAAGGTTGGATATGAGGCTAGCAACCCCACCTCCTTAAATAGAATAACACCACTGTTACTGTAACTTCAACCCCCTCCCCCCAAGCTTGAACCTCTATGTTCCACTTGGAATCCAAAGGAATAAAATTAAAAAAGCGTATAGACACGGGTTAACTCTTACTCTTCTTAACCACCATCCTCGGTAGTCACTTGGTATTCTGAAATGAAGACGAAACAGTGAAGCCTCGATTGTATTGCTTATTCTTGTTGGTTTCATTCTCTTATGTCACGCTCATCATCACGCTCTCCTTTTCTAGGAATGACATATTTGTTGTTTGTTTTTTGTCTCTTGATCATAAAGGATAACTTGTACTGAGTGACTAGTGTACTTAGATTTATTCAACTGAAGGACAGTTTTACTGCTTATAGCAGTGGATGTGTACACAGTGTGCTACGTAGAGCAACTTTAATGTTGCATTTTGTCAGGGTGCCTTCATGAAACATGAGGCGAGAATAGCTTGTTTAATGTGTTAGTCAGCTGGATTTTTTTGTTTTCTATGTTATCACTCCTGTGTAAGTTAGTTGCAGTCTCGTTCTGTAAGCTGCATATTGGTAGTTAGTGCCTTTATTCAGTTTGTAATCATTTTTATTTCTACAAAATATATAGGCTTACTTATGTTTATATTTAAATCCTAAGTCTGCTTATACCTATCAGATCAAGTTAGCGTAGTTACAATGCAGTATATTTAATGGTTATAATTTGTGTTCAGTATGCGCCTGTTTGTATATATGTGTATATGTAGTAATAATTAGTCATGAGACTGAAAGTCCTTGGGTCACTCTCTCTCTTTATTAAATACATTTAATGTCTGTCCTTTTGTTGTATCTCTGCTTCTAATCCAACACAAATGAGTGTGCATTTGGCTTCTTTTTTTGTTGCCTGCTAAAATGCATTGTAGTGAGTATGTCCACCATTTTTTTAGAATGAGTCATCTATCACACTGTCTTCTAACCTTGTATACCTTCTATACTTATGGCCTTCACTTTGATTGGTTGTCTTTATCTTTCTACTGATTGATTAGCTTGTGCACTAGCCTCTGACCAGTTTTTTTTGTGTTTTTTTATCGGGCTGACTTCATACTGGATACATTTTTGGACTGTTATACTGATTGTTGCTAATTCTGCCTTTGTACTTGAGATGACGACTCTACCTAGTCAACAGCTATTATGGCTATTATTTTCCTCATAATATATTATCTGCGTCACTAACCAAAATAAAAATCTATGCCTCAATAAAATTTGCTTCTTGATTCTCAGTAGGCAACGACCACGTCATTTTGAAAGCAATACAATGCTGTAATTGACAATTCCTATACTACACAAATATGATTCGTTTGTCTGCATTAATTGTTACCAATTTTCTTTGTAAATAATAAATAATTAACTTGTATGTCATTGAAACAAGCCTAAGTGTCAGCATTTAATTTCAGTGCTTCCATGATTTTCTACATATTCGTCATATACTCCAATCACTGCATAGAATATGTGAAATTGATCACACTACACTACTGCTGCCACTAATTTGAAAAAATTCATGTTTATACAGAGTACATGATTTGTTAGGCCCTACTTACGTGCTTACACTTAAGAAAACAACAGTAGTAGAATGTGATGGTACATTGTTGTGAAATTATTACTGTGTATGCATGAAATTGTTTAATTTTCTTTCAATCAATCAATCATGCTATTGCTCATAATGCGTGCACGCGTGCTTGTGTGTGTGTGTGTATTTTAGTTACCTCAGCATAACTGTTACAGTCGATTAGAGTGATAGTCATGCACGCTATTTTAGTTTTGAAAAAAAACGAAGAAAGAAAGGTTATAACCACCAACTAACTGGCGTCACTGCCTGCTGTTGTTTCCATAGCTAACTCGATACTGTACTGCACTATACACCGAAATGTAAGTAAACAGCTGGTGTTGGTATGATAAAGAAGGAGAAAACTATTCGCTTAAAACTTACCTTGATTAGAAGGCAATCTGAACAGCAGCAGCGTCATGACCATCCTCAATCTATCTATCTATCTATCTGTCAATTAATCAATAGTCGTATGTGTTAATTTCAAGGTTGTGAAGTACATTTGGATACTGTATTTTGATCTTATTTTATATAAAGTATTCTCTAGTGGAAAATTAGCTATGTGCATACTAATTAAGATTTACTTTATATTAACTGTGACAGCATTACTGTTGTAAACCAGTGCTTCACACATCACACTCCGAGTTAAGTTAATAAAATTTATCTACTATCTCTGTGTATTTTTACATGTTCACGTTTATATATATTTATTGCATCTTGTATTTGAGTATTACTCTTTGTACTTTTTAAAAACACGTCTGTTAATTTCATATTTGACTCAGTTCAAATCAAATGACATCTATGTATACGCATACAACATGATACACATGTGTTGTAAACTTCTTCTACGCCAATTATATTCACATAATTTCATTTTGCATGAATCGTAGTCAACTGTCAGAAAACCATCTTATTTAACTTTATGCACGAGTCATTCACACATGGAGATGACCATATTGATGTCTTCTAATTCTTCTCCTTTCTCTCCCTGTCATTGATTGTAATTGTGACTAATTATTGAAGAAAACCATAAACGTGTGTGTGTGTATGTGTATTTCTGTGTTGGTGTGTTGCGTGCATATCAGGTCATATGTGTTATTGAATACACTGTGTGTACACACATGCCCACGTAATTTGATGATATAATATCACTGTGAATCAATTAACTGAGATAAATATAATCACAGGTATACCATAGGTATATATATATATATATATATATATATATACAAATATAGACAGGTAATTCTGTATGTGCATATAATTGATTTATTGTTACATTGACCTGGCTGGCCATTGTACTGTCAACTTGATTACATTTACTCTTTGCTATGATTATCTGAAATAACGAGTCTATAATTTTATCTAGATGATTTGACTTGGTCAGCTTTTTTCTTTATGTTGTTCATTGATAAATTCATTTACGTAAAACAACTCACTATCAATGTGATCTGCCCTTGAATAATAATATTATTATTATTGACGTGCGATGTCACCCAAAGGTCTCCCCAGCTAGCATCTGATCGATCCATCTCTATTTTCGTCTGGATATTTGTTCAGCAATAGGATTGTTGGTTGGTTTGTTCCCAGAGTTTATTGTTGATAATTCTTTCTGGCCGACCATCTAACCGGGGGAGAGACAGCTGTGTGATGTAAGTCTGCAGCTAGCTGTTGGAAACGCTTTTCGTGATGCTTCATCAAGAAGAACAATTGACTTAACCTTGGTGTACTGGAAACTCGAATTTTGTTGTTTATGCTGAGCTAGTGCAGAAGATTTCTAAAATGATTTTAGAGAGATGAAGGTCTGCTCTGCCTTTCTGATTCTGATTTTGACATCTACATCTGTCCTGTTGCCTGTATAGTTGCAACGATGCTTTCTAGATAAGTGAAGGAAGTGAACTTATTCAAATTTCTTTCGTTGATAGTGGTCGGTGCTTGTTGTTGTTGTTTGTTGGTTGGTTACCCTCATCACCTTCGTCTTTTCTATTTTCACCTGTAGTCCTCCTATCTTTGCTGCTTCTTCTGTCATTTTTTTAGCTTTTGCCTGTAAGTCTTCGAATTTATGTGACTTTAGACATAAATCATTTGTGAAGTCCAAATCTTCTAGAGTCTTCTTATCGGGCCAATGTATTTCTGCCTTCTCGCTCCACACAGTCTGACACATAATCCGGTCCACCACAGTTAGCAATAACCTTGGTGATAATATGCAGCTAGTTTGTCTTACTCCTGTATTCACTTCAAAGGCTTCGCTGAGTTTTGCGTTGTGGACCACCTGACGTGTGGCATTGTCATATATCTGTTGAGTGAGGTTGCTAAACTTTTTCATACTGACCACCGTAGTTTCCAAACTACTTCTCAGTCAACTCTGTCCGTCGAAGGTCTTTTCGAAGTCGATGAAGTTGAGGTAGGGATTTTACTTCTATTCTATGTTCTATTCAATGATAATGCGTAGAGTCACAATCTGATCAACACATGAATTGCTTTTGGTGAATCCAGCTTGTTTTAGTTGGTGTTCTGTATCCACCACCTTTTTTATTCTCTCCAGGATGACCGAAGTTAAAATGAGAACCCGACTCATGAGGGGACTTAAATCCACCAGGAAGTATCCCTTAAGCTTCCAAACCTGGTGATCTGTTAACTGATCTGCGAGATTTACTGGTTGAACACATTTTTTTCCTTTTCATTGAGTTGTTGTATGTAGAGGTGTGATAATCAACTCTCTGGTGTTTATTATTAGTATTTACTAACAAGCTGTGATCTCTGATCTGCGACCGAAGGTAAGCGATTAAGCTTTTCTCAGGGATATCTGAAGTCCAGCCACGGTGATAATGACATACAGTAGTTAGCTACGTATTATCCTTAACTCAAATGACAACTTGGGGAAACTCTTGTTATCTGGATTAAAAATGAAGATCAATTCATCAGTTGATGGATGTTGTGCCTTCTTTAATGGCTTCGTAGGCGTAAAAAAACGTGGATGCCTCAAATCATTTCAACAACAATTCGATATCAGTTAGATGATTATAAGATGATAGTGAAAATCCGCTGTTAATGATAATAAAGTGTTACTTTCTCTCTTTGTTTTTCCTCCTCTATAGAAAATGGGGTAGGCTTTGCTCAGTCTGGCAGCAGTTTTTCGCTAACCGACAGTCTATATTCCGTGGCCGATTCGGTGAATGTAAGTATTGCCGTGTTGTTCTGTTTATCTGTGAAAAAATAGCGAGGGAAAGAAATATTTTCGCCATATTTCCTTTTTTTATTTCTGTTATATGATTATTTATTGGTAGGTGTTGTAAATAGTTTGGCAGGAAGCCCATCCTGCAAATAGGCTTTGCGGTGATTCGCTGTATCTCAGCGATGCATAACACTAGCATACCTAGTGCTGAAGTCAAATGACCTCTCCGTACTTGTATCATAACTGACTTATTGTAAGGATGGGTTATATTGGCATCTCATTTAACCCTGGCTTTATATAACCTGATTTAGAGTGACCACCAGTATATACTGCACACTATTTCGATTGTTGATTTGGTGCAGGTTCGATTTTCAGCCGAACATGCACCTCATTTAGTTTACTAGCTGGAGTTAAAGATGGAAGTTTGGGTGTGAGGCTAGCAACCTCATCCGATAAAATCAACACCCCCACTACTGTAACCTTTAATTCTTGAAGCCCTGTGTGTTTCACTCGGAACTCAAGAAATTTTGTCGAAAATAATCTACACCTCTTGAAAAGTTACTCAAGGCTTTCGTAGAAGGCGTCATACTTCAAAATTCTTGTCAGTAGAACAAGGCAGACTAGTAACAGCATTCTCAAAATTCTATTGGTGACGTTCTTCTGAATGGAAAAATTGGTCGAAAAGCCAGCAAACTTGTAGAAATGTATTTGTCAGGTTTAAATGGGTGGAAATGCGTGAGGCATTGTACAAAGTGTTTACGATAATTCGTATGATAATGTAAAGTCGTCGAAAAGAGGCTGAATTATTGTAAAGTGACTTTCAGGTAAAGCAGCCCTTACATCTGAATAATAATGGTAATACTTACAAAAACATATAGTGGTCTATTATTGAGTAATAGGGGGTGACATAATTGATATAATTACTCAGAAGTGGTTTTAGAAGTGAAAATTAAAAGTTGTAAATTACGTGGTACTCAACGGCACAAAGATAGAAATTTGATAAGGTTAAAATTGCTATTCAGTCACTATTAAGGTATTTGAGTGTCAATTTAACAAGTGTGAGGAGGGTGTGAAAATATACAAAAGGAGCATATGAGAGTGATAATAGTGAATTAATTATTAAAGCAAAAGCTAACTAAAAGTGAAATTAGAATGAAAAGAAAAATCAAAATATATTTTATTTACAAGGAACGATTAATGAAGAGGTTAAGACCAAGGTAGAATAACAGACTGGACAAACTTTTTCTGCCTACAGAGTTCAGGGTTGTATTGATGAATTGGCTAGTTTGGAGAATAATATTTTACGGCCTACTATCGACAGTTTCCATCTGTACCAAAGATACATGGATGATACTTTCATCATATGTGACGACAATACCGACATCGAATTGATAACTAAAGAGTTCAACAGCTGCCATCATGCCATCAAGTTCACGTCGGAATCAGAGATTAACTCGGAATTCCATTTTTTGGATGTTTTTCTAAAGAGGAGATCTGATGGTTCTCTTCAAAGATCGATCTACAGGAAACCAACATGGAATGGTCAGTACACAAATTTCCATAGCCGGGTCCCTTTGAGAAGAAAGAGAAATCTGATCCATTCCTTATCCTCAAGGATAAGGAGGATATGTTCAAGTGATACAATCGTTGGAGAACTGGAGCGACTCAGACAAGTCCTCATAGGGAATTGGTATCCTCCAAGATTTATCGAGAAAAACATGAAACCAAGGGAAAAACCTGAAAGAATACAGACGGTGCCGAAGAAACTATTGTTTATGAGTGTTGAATTTAAAGGTGATACCGCAGCTGAGATCCTGAAGAATCGCTTATGCAGATCACTGAGGAAAGCCTTCTTTATGGCTAAGCTACGTATCAATTTCTACAGCCGACAAATGATCAACGGATGTGTGAATGATAAACTGCCGCTTTGGGCCACCTCAATGTGTGTTTATAAATTCACTTGCTCATGTGGAGCTAGTTATATTGGCCGCACAAAGCGCACGCTTTCCAAACGCACCTCTGAACATTATCCGGCATGGTTAACAAAGGGACAATGTAAGACGATTACTAGCTCAATTCTCGAGCATTTGGTGAACTCAGGCCACGTAGCTCCACCAGAATCGTCTTTCAAGATCATCTACAAAGTGAAGCCAAATGGTACAAAGGGCGTCAGGTTTCGGCTTTTGTGTATGGCGGAGGCTCTGGCAATTCATCAATACAACCCTGAACTCTGTATACAATAATGGTAATAATAAATTTAATAGTTTTTCGAAATATATACTTACCCAACTATCACAATTCTATTATGCTAAGCTTCTACATCGGTATTCACAAAAGAACACCGCAGAGTAACTGTCTATCCCAGTCGTCACTTTTTTTTCAACAGCGCAAAATTAGGCATATTCATGACTGGAGAGTGAGTATATGACATGTTGCTAAATCATTCTATAGACATATGACTATGACTACGGGATACATTTAATGTATTTGAATAACCTCTTCAGCAGAATGAAGAAATACTGCTCATATTTACATAAAGAGAAAAATAAAATAAATAAATAAAGTTTTAAATAAATGTTTATAGCAATTAACTGAGTGTAAGGTTTAATTTTCTCTCTAAACGAGCTTCTTTTTATGAAAGCGCTGTACACATGTCTTGTTCTCATACGAGACACTAAATGAAACTGTCGAGCTAGTAGGAATTGAAAAGCATGGACTATTGAACACATAGTGTTCCTTGTGTTATGAGTGCGCTTAGATGTGTACCAAGAAAACACATCTATCCTTTTCCTTCTTAATTTCCGCTTATTTTTTTTTTGACTAGTGTAGGTCCACCTTGAAACTCAAATTAATTAGTATTAGTTTGAATAAAAGCAGGAACAATGCCATCTCACTTATTTCGTCGGTTTCTCATCATCTGCATACCGTGTAAATAAATTATAAGTTTGTGCATAGAACAAGTGTTACGTGTAATGTCAGTTTGCTGGAGACTACAAACTTAATAAACACTGCCCAGAAATTTCAAGTTTAAACAAGAATAAATGCTTGGATACACTGACAAAAGAGTTACGTAATACAGAAAGGAGGTGAATTGAACGATGATTAACTAATAAATTGAGTAACAATGTGGTGAGTTCAATTCAAATCATAGAAACAGCAGGAGACAAGCAAAATTATACTGTATCAAAGGGGAGAGAGGTTAAAGTGAAAGATTGCATAAATGAAAGAGAGGGAGTAAAGAAACCCAGTTACCAGGGTAAGGAAAGACTGGTAGCTGCTTCTTTCTGAACACATAAACCAGGTTTCAGGCGTTTGATAGAGATTGCTTCAGCAAACTTCAAGAGAATTGAGCTATTTTTTTCTGTTGATAATTTCAAAGGATTTCACAGTGTCCACAACATGGACCGTACTGATGAGATGGCTAACAATGGCACTATATATTACAAACGTTTGTTCGCTTGAGATGTAGGCTTTTCGGTACATGATCAGAAAATCTAACGGTGTGCCCTTCTTTCTGTTCTCCCGATGTACATTTGTCTGTCGACTTTTGACTGCACCAAAGAGCATTTCATGCCGTTTAAATAAAAAAAACAAAAATCGCATTGTCCATTTCCAATCCGTTGTGTTCATTCGTTATCAAAAACGAAGGTAACAACTTCAATTTGTTATGATGATCACATTTATGTGGAGTGAATACTACAGTTGTATGTGTATTTGTGTGCTTTTGTGCTTTTCATTGTATCAATAATAGTTCGTATTGTATCCATTTGTGTCAGTGAAGTTTTATAACTTACCTAAATATCATCATCAGCCGATAAGATGATTGATTGTGTTAAATTTTCAAACAAATAAAACTAGTCTGATCAACAATTTGATTGACTTTTCAGTTATTAGATGACGTATGTTTGCGTGTGTGTGTGTGTGTGTGTGGGTTCATATACAGGTAGTGTGTAATATACAAGGTAAGGCGTATAAATTAGCCGGCAGAGAGAGAGGGGGGGGGAGATAGGAGTTTGGATATAATCAGACGGTGTTCAATGTATGTTCTATGCATAAAGTAAGATCATCATCATTAATGCAATATGTTTAATAAACCTGCCTGTTATAAAAATGGGTGGAGATACAGATGATCTCAGTGTCTGCAATTAATAGTGTTCTCTAGCTGGTTGGTTTAGTTGCGGAGCTTTCGTCGTCCTTCTATTCGATATTACATTTTCGCGCATTGGATAGCAAAAGTCACAAAAAACTATGAAAAACCTTTAAAACATTTGAATAGATGATATAAAACACAACTCCACACGACGACTTCAGTAAATTCAAATTGTAATTGATCGCCTTTGTTATTATCCTACTGTCATAGAGAGGCGGAAACAAAAGGCGGGGAAGGTAAATTGGTTTTGGCGATTAATTTGTATACTCCACTCTCTTATAATATTGTACTTGAACATAGAGTAATACGCCTATCACACTCTTTTTTTCCAGATGGTGGATGAATTTTTATCTTTCAAGAATATGCGTAAACTAATCAGTGAGTTTCACTAAACATCTTATTCATTTGTTTTAAGTTTGTAACAGTAAACGGTATAAGTTGTAATCGTTAAAGGGGCGGTCTTCATTCCTATTGGGTTGTTTTTTTAGTACCTCTTGGTGACTTGGCACTCCCAGACACAAAACCGTGCCGATTTTCTCCAATCACTTGATCAGTTTACTCGCTTCAGATTGATTGACCCTCAGTGATTAGTCAGAGTGTAAACTCAGCTCTGATTGTTTTCAAAGTGGACTTTGTAAGATGTCGGCAACAGAAAAATTGAAAGTGATTGATAGCACTGAATAAACGGTCTCATCTTAGTTCCTAACTCTTCAACTGTATGTACTAATGTCTGTGTGAAGTATTGGGACAAGAGCCTGAGGGGGGGGGGAACACGTTATCGTTGAGTCACTCGAAATTGAAATTCTTTGAACGCTACAATTCTGCACTTTTGTGAATTTCAGGTATTGACCAACCATTATTTAGTGTTCGTGGACGCCTCATGACTTTTCTACATATTGAATCTCCTGTGGTGTGTAATTGGTAGATTCACTCACAGTGGTAAACAGTTTTGAACTTTGACAAAACAACTGTGTTGTGTATAATGTGAGCTTTGCGTCCCTAATACAGTGTGTAGCTGCAAGTTTTAGTAGTAGTAGTAGTGTTTATTTTTGAACGGGTTGGAGGAGTTGCTAACATCATAACCACCTCTTTTCCACACTTTCTTACGGGTAGTGAACTAGCCAACGTTTAGGAGTGCATTGTTTGGAAATCGAACCCCAGATCATATGGGTGATTAACGAGCATTCTGTCATCTTGTGTGTATGTACGCTTATTTAGCGTGTTCTCATCCATCTTCAGTTTTTTTAGGGTTTCTGGGAGTGTTTTCAACGAACTGACTCGCACTCTTCTATTTTCTGTCATAATTTCTTCGACATATAGTAGTAGTGTGTTTTATTTAACGGTTTTCTTTACTATGAGAAATGTCGCTTACTTTTGTACTATATTTTTTTTTATTTAAATGAATAATTTTCCGTCAGAAGGCTTAAATTAAAAACAAACAAAATTGCCAACAGTTTATAGTTTCTTTATAAGTGCAAAATCATTAGCAATGATTAATGTTGTACATACATCACTATTATATATATATATATATATATATATAATACAAGGAAGTGTCTGTCTATATGCTTGTATGCGTTTGTGTGTGTGTGTGTGTGTGTCGTAAACAGTTGAAATACATATATATTTGTATTGATTAATCTTATTTCATTTTGTGTTCATCGAAGAAATATACTCGACAGTCTCAAGTGGTGGTGGTGGTCGTGCACACAATGCCAATGCACAATGAGTGCATTTCTGTAGTTTTTAAATCGAACACCTGAATCTATGTTCACTCTTTGCCAACAAGTTCTACACTGCTTATTTTAGTTGTGTGTTTTTTTTGTATTTGGAGTCTAATTATTAACTCTAGATTATGCAGTTGATACAAACACACTTAGTTACTTACTTGTTTGTCTGATGTTGTTTTTTCCATCGGTGATTGTGTCATTAAAACATAGATGATACTGTTTTGTTCTATTCAATGTTTGGAGACAATTGCCTATTAAGCTTTGGACGTTGCTTCCGCGCTTGTTGACACTCACCAGTCAGCTCAGCGTATCTGTAATCTTGAAGGAACTTATTTCCCTTCTGAGATTCTAACTACAATCATCTAGTGTTGCGATCGTAGATGTTACAATTGAACTATTCGGATCCAGGAATTACCTCCTGTAAAACTGTAATGGATACTTTGTTGATTGGACACTAGACGGTAACGAATGTTATGCGTCTCCCTAGTCTTTGGTGTTGGGGTGCAGACTGAATTGCATCAGTCAATCAGCTGGCAATGTGGCCTGCATGATAAGTGGCTGACGATCATGGTGCACTCTGAATTGTTTCTAAATGTTTGGAGGCAGTTGGCAACAACAACAACAATTGAGAGAGCACTGTTACCTTTAGACTCCTACGCCAATTAATATTATCGGGGGTGTTTGTATGTACAATATTCTATTTTACAACATAAATGTTAGTGTTTTTTTTATCTAACAAATGAATGTAGAGAGAGAGATGCAAGTACCAAAAACACGATTATGCATCACTGTGATCAGATTCCATCACGATATTTGGTCGCACTAATCTAAAGGAAAAGTTGTACACTTAATACACCGCCTACAATACATAGCTGGGTGAAGTTGAGAATGACAACAAAAACTAATTACAATTAGAATTAATGAGACTATAGTCGTTTTAACCAGTCAGTCCATAAGCGTTAGTCATTATTATTATTATTTTTTTTATCTGCTGCTATTTTCACCTTACTTGAATTAGCCAGTCCATTGTTCTAATCACAGACTTCGACTCTTGAATATACACTGTGCACACATACAAACACATTTTGATGCATATATCATTACATTTATCAAGAGATTGTTAGTCAGCGTCTGTGTATATATGTGTAGGCTATATCTGTTTGTCTGTTTGCGTGTGTGTATGTGTGGTGTGCACATAAAAATGTATAGGTTAAGAAAAACACCTTTGTATGCTACAGTATATTATTGTGAATAGTGAACTAGGTCACATATCGGAACTGTATATTTTTGAGTAGACCAAAAGAAAAATCAGAGAAGGAAAGAGATAATCACATGAGAAACCAATAGATATGAGTCAACTCTCTAGTAGTAGTAGTAGTAATAGTAATAACCATAGTTATACTACTACAAAGTCATTCTGTGTTTCATTACAAAGAATTTGGCATCACACAAAGGCCAAACTGCATACATACAAATGTGTTTCAGTTGGATCAGTTGATCAAAAAACGAGAGGAATGTTGTGCTTTCCTGACCGAAATTGCTTTTCTGTCTGTCTGTCTCACTCTCGCTCAACACACACACAAAGTTAACTTTTATGTTATCCATAGTTGAACGATCCATCCAGCTTAGAGAACACATCAAAAGAATTTTAATTTACACAAATGTAGCCATTCAGCTTATTGGTTCACCTCTCTACTACCATCCAAGCTGAAGGCAAAAGTACAAGTCTGATTTTACGATATATTTATTTAATCAGTGTGTTCTATTTCCACTCTCTCATCGTCCAAAAATTATCTTGCCCTTAATTTGTAGGTGTAAATAGAGTCACCTACTTATTTCATTATGGCTAAATTATAAGTACATGAACAAAGTATGCTGATCTGATATACAAGAAAAAACGACCAATTGTATGTGAAGCGTATCAGATTAATAGCTAAGCCATTATTCAATAACGATAACTGTTATTTAGATATTGGGAGTGAATTTCACCTCCTCCATTGCTCAGCGAACTTATTTACTACTGGCATTGTTAACGTCTTCATATCCGTTGGTCGTCTAAGTCATGGTTGAACATTACATTTGGGTTATTTATTTATCCTGTTTGTTCTAGCGATGATGTCCCTTAATACGATGGGGACTGCTTTTTCTAAATTACTAGTCATCACAGTCTGACCATTTTGACAAAATACTTACGATTTGTTTTGTTTCTATTGAATAAGTGATAGGGAATGTTATATGTGGTATTCTTGTCACTTGATTGCAGTGTAAAGTAGTCAAGTTGATGAGCATGAGAAGAAATATTTACTTGTCTCTATTTACTAATGAATATTGGTCCACTGAGGGAGTGGTTGCACCATGGGATAATACTGCCTGCTAGTTTCGTCTCGCAAAACGCAGGGATAGGTGTGTTCAGTCCTCCTGAAAATCAATGTATGAATGCCGAGTCGATGGGTGGTGTATCATTGTGTGAATTTTGCGGCGTCGCTAGTTCAGCGATAGAATGCTCGCCAACCACACTATATGGTCCGGGGTTTGATACCCCGGATTTCGTCGTGAACCAGTATCAGTTACACAGAGATCATTGAAAACCGGAAAACACTGGACATCTGTTTCGTTGTATTTTTCTGGGGCTCTTCAACAGTCCTCACCCATTACCCTACCAGGGATCGAAATCGGGGCCTTCAGGTTACGAGATCAACTTAGTTTGACCATTCAACCTGGTTGGGTCAAAACTCAACTAACCGTGAATTCTAACTTTGTCAGCTCGTGATGTAATGCTACCCTCACCAATGCCTTGGATAAACATTCACTTCACCTTGACATGGTAGACCTCACCGGTCACGAATTTCCAGTGCAGCTTTAGTACATCCATCTAGTAACCATCAATAAGCCGGAGATTGAGAGATTTAGAGTATGAGATTTGCATTAATTCAACTTCCAGTTGTGGTGCGGTTTCATTGAGAACTGAAGCGTTTTGGACTGGAACTCTTCAGTCTGAAGCTCATGGGTGTGCACTGATGAAGAGGCCCAGAAATAGGATGAGACAGCTGTTCACTGCTCCCTGGCTTTCAACGATCTCCTTAACTGATATTGGATCGTGACGAAATCTAACAGTTCCAATCAAATATCACTTTACTTTAGCAAAATGCGTATATATATATATATATCACATAAGCACAGAGCAGATAAACAAAGACGGAGAGAAAGAGAGTTGAGTATTGATTTCCACGCTTTCTCTTAACACTCGTTTTTCAATTTAGAATTTGTTACCGAAATATATATGCCTTGTTTACACACTGTTTGAAAATATTTTTTTTAATTTATCGTTTTCTTTTCCAAAAATTCCACACCCTTAAGTGTTGATTCGTGTGTATACCCACATACCATACGTTATTGTTCAGCAGTTGACTGTAGTAACTTTCTTTTTTCTTCGGCTTACCACCAGTGTTTGCGCTAGAGAGAGAGAGAGAAAAGAAATCAGAATATTGTTTCACGCTATTTACTGAAATTATCTAACATAGACTACTAATGTATTTGTTGTTATTGCAGTATTTGTAGGCTTTTGTTTTTCCTGGAAAAAACAATACCCCAGTTCATTCGAGGTGTGCATTTTAAGCAATACACTTACATTCACTGATGAAAGTGAAATTCATTCCGATATCATGCAAACATATGCACTCTCTCTCTATAATAGGCAGTTATAGTGACTAGCACATTTTGTCCTATTTGGGGCTCATCAACTGGATGCTGTATTTTCAATCCCCAGTGACTGGTGGTGTTCCCACTGAGACTCGAATCCACTACGCTCCATTTGAGACGTGGAAACGTTATCCACTTGGGTTACGAGGGCCCACTGTTTGTGCAATGGGCATCAGAGTTAATATTTGTTTTAAGTTGATTTTGATTTTCCTCTTTGAATGTTTGCGAACACCATTAATCGCTGGGGATTGCAGGTACACTGTCCAGTGAGGCGTTAGAAATAGGGACGAAATACTCATCCTGGATTTCACTGCTAGACGCCATCAACGAAACTATACTTCATGTTAATTCTCATACATTGCCGAAGCTGACATGTCAACGAAGGCCGAAAATTGCGGTCTAATTAACCAACGCGAAATTGACTTAAAATGAAGGAAACTGTTTACAATCTTTGTTTTCATTTGCATTGAGACTGTCTTTAATAGTATCAAATGCTGAGTGAGCATGCCTATAATAATTTGCTTGTTATTCGATGCAGAGAATTTGTGTGTGTGTGTTTGCGCACTTCTTCGTACTTATTCAGCTACTCATTTCGGTAATGTCATTAATAAGAACACTTTGGGGTACAAATTAGGTATGATTAAAACAAGAGAAGTTTTTCATCTCTTCTAAAAATTTGTTCACTAACGGTTTCAAGCACATGCGTTGAAGCCAGTTCGGAGTTTTTGTTTGAAACTAATGATTTGATTATTCTATGCCAAAGCATGTACTCGGCGATTAGTCAACCCTGTTTCGTAAAGGATTGTGATACTATGCAACTTTCAAGTCTGTGTAGGTGGCGCGAATTTTTAAATATACCGTCAACTATACGAAGATTGAATTCCTATGGACATCAGCCAGATTGCCTTAGACTGACAGTGCATTTCAAAGTCTATTGGATTAAATATTGCGAACTCATATCATCTTTCATCATGTCTGTCTGTCTAGGTGTATCGTGTTCCCTTAAACTTACTTGTCCATTTTGCTTATTTAGCGAACGGCTGAAAATTTCCATTTTAGCTGTTATTCTGAAAAATATTTAGCATACATTATTTCTTTGCAAAAATGTTTCAATTAAAGCACTTAACAGAGAGAGAGTATTGAACACTATGGAAAAAATACGATTATATGTAAAAACATATATATATATATATCAGTGTAGATTTTGTAACAAACTAAAGTCAGCGAGAGAGTCATTAAAGACGACGGAACTCTGGATAGATTTTATACCCTGCTGTGATACCCTTTATATTTTTAGTATTTTTAATATATTTGTGAGGTGAAGTTTCTGTAGCAATTTGGTCAAGTTTTGCGGGTGGAGTTGCTAGCACCACGCCCCAACCCCCCCTCTTTATCCGGGCTTGGGACCGGCTAGAAAACTAGCAAGCTAGAAGTCTAGGCGAGGTTATGGGAAGGCGAGAAACGTATTCATCAACCTGAAACCAATCTGGAAATCTTCATCACTCAGCATCAACAACAAAATTCGGATTTTCAATACAAACGTCAAGTCAGTCAGTTCTTCTATACGGATCAGAAACTTGGCGGGTCACAAAGAATATTTCCAACAGCCTGTTGCAGACCTTTATCAACAACTGTCTTCGCTCTATACTGAAGATCAGATGGCCGGAAAGAACAAGAACCAACAAGAAACTATGGGAACAAACGAAACAAGAACCAATCGCCCAACAAATATGCAGGAGAAAGTGGCGATGGATTGGACGCTCTCTGAGGAGGCCGCTGGGTGACATTGCGCATCAGGCGCTCAAGTGGAACGCAAAAGTGAAGCGACGAGTGGGACTTCCAAGGGTGACATGGATGAGATCGTGTGAAGAAGAGTTGAAACAGTATGGACTAACATGAATGCAAGTGAAAAGTACAGCAGAAGACAGAAACGAGTGGAGGCGTGCAGTTGAAGCCCTATGTTCCACTAGGAACCCAAGGGAACAATAATAATAATACTGTGATACCCTTTAACAGTGCGCACCGACAAACCCACTAGAGATTGGAGGCACGGGCTTTCAGGTTACAAGAGCTTCTTATCCTCGTAACCGGAATGGAATTCCAATGACTCATGACTTTTAACACTACTGTAAATTCGCGTTATAGCGTGTTGCTACCACCAACCAGTAGTAGCATTGCACGTGATATATGGTACATGAAAACAATCTACATTGGAATTAATTAAAATCTCTACGAAACCCAAAATCTGAATACCCTTTATGTGTGATTGCCTCTTTAATTCATCTGTTCATCTGTACTTCTCACCAATTGTCTTTATGTCTACGTGTTTGTGTGTCTGTGTGTGTGTGAATGTAGCTGAAGGTGAAGACCCTCAAAAAGTGCCTAAACTACGTGAAGATGATCGTCTACTAGTTGGAGGTTTTAATCCATCTGAATTCAATGAAGTCTGTGCTCAACAGCGTGAAAAAGTAAGTGTGTATCCATAGCAGCACATATGTGTTTTTGTCTGTGTATAAATGATGTTGTTGCTTTTTTCTTTCTTTTCAAAATGTGGTGATGACAGTCAGACGGCTGTTTGTACTCAGCTTTTTTTCCTTTCAAAGTTCTTATGTTAACATACAAGCAGAAGAGTGCACTTTGATCGTTGATCATTAAGCGTTATTGATTCTTAAAAGAAAGTGATCGTTTTATCACTGGTTGTTTTTGTTTTGTTGTGTATGTAAAAGTAATGTACAATTAATGTCGTGTGCATATATATAATATTTACAAGTTTCATCACGGGTTTATATCACCCAGAGAAAGAACCACTGTGAATTGACCAAAGTTAGAATTCATTGGCCATTGGATTCCGTTCCACTGACAGAAAATGGTCAATGAGATTACCTTGTGACCTGAAGGTCCTCCACGGTGGAGTCGTGGGTGTATGTGCTGATGAAGTGTCCTGACTAGGATGAAACGACTGATATCTCAATAGGGTGGTGAACAAACCGCTTTCAGTAGACACTTGAAAATAGTCCTGTTATTCTGCATAATGTGTGTTGCCTGAATATAATTAAATACTTACTTACATAAGTAAACTGTTCTAACACTGACACGACATCGTTTCCTCTACATCGTACTAAGCAAATATGTCTTGAAAAATGAAAAACAATTTTGTTAAATTTATGCATTTCGCAATTGACTGAAAGCCACTAACTATGATTAGTTAGTTAGTTTAACACATCAACTTTGACTTTGGCACAGAGGTGAATCACAACTTGTGAGACTATATTTCGCAACACACTGCCTTGATAAGAATGTGAATTTAATCGGTACATGATAATAATTTCATGCATAAATTACTCTCATATTAGAAGAATAGCAGAAAAAAACAGTTTAATTAAAGGTTAATCGATCGATATTGTGCGGTGTGTGTGTGCACAGTTAAAAATGAACTATTAATTTTTGACATCAGACAACTGACTAGCTGTGTGGGACACTAACCACACACACTGGTTTTGTGAATACGCATGTCTTCTAAAGACTGTAAAAAGCTGTTAAAATATCCACAGCCTGCCTCTGTCTTCCTCAGTAAACAATGGTAACTGATATAGAAAACGTGTTAGAGGTGGTTAGACCAAAATATAGTATTGTTTCAAGCAGGTGTTTTGGCTGTGTTGATACCGAACCTTAGAAGGAAGGGTAGACTAAGCATCTGGTGTGTAGTTCAGGATGCCAAATCGATGATGGCAGCGGTGCAGATGTGCTCATTCCTCTTCATCTGCTATATTCTGTAAATCTCCACTGGTGTCTTCTGTATTAGATTCTTTTCTTTCCTCACACTTATATTTATTCATCATCATTGCATTGCTACATTTCCGTTCTCATGTGTGTGCGTGTTTGTGTTCCGTTTATAAATATTGCAAATTGTATCGATGCACGTTTGCATAAATTTCTACACTGATTTGTCAATCATTCAAAAATGCTTGAGTCAATCAGTTACAGTTGTAATTTGTGATTGATTCAAAACTTTTATGATTGATAATTTTACTAGGAATCATTTTGAGACATGACTATATATATATATATATATATATATATTATATGAAAATTTTGATAGTGTTAAAATAAAAACGAATCGCTATCTCCGGTAGGAGTTCGGGGTTAGTGGTGAGAAGCGATAATCTGTCCCTACATCACACCCACCCCCTGTATTCTGACAAATATGTGTATATATTTTGTCCAGAGTGAATCACGATATTCGTTGTGTTGAACAGCACTTAAGGCTGAATTTCTTTCTCTTTAATTTCTTTTGTCCTCATTTCTACTAGGCACATTCAGTACGAGCACATATGGCTGAAGTTTTCGATGATATCTCCTATGAATTATATCCACACGAGGTCACGTTGAATGGACCAAAAAGGATTCAAGGACGTGAAAATAATTCTCTCTTTTTAAATGAATCCGGCAATAAATCAACATCAGAACAAGTGAATACAAATATGAATTCATCTATCACTAATAGTATTGTTGGTGGTATTGGTAATTCTGCAACAAAAGTGTCTAAAAAAGCCAATAAGGCTAATAGTAATAATAATAATAGTAATCAAGCTGTATGGGAACGTGATTTCACTTCATTGTTTTTTGTTTAATTCCTGCTGTTCAACTGAATCCCTTCGGTCTCATCTTCATATTCCTCCAGTTCGATTCACAATTCAATTGTTCATTTAGCACTTGTCTCCTGATACACACATCTCTCTGTCCCTATATTGTTAGGATTCCTGTTTCTTTCTCTAATTAGTTATATATACATATGCATTACTCTTATTGGCAGAATTCATTCTTCAGAAAGTGCCACAAAAAGGAAAAACAGACCAATGAAACTTTCCAGTTAACTGAATTATTGTCTGAGAAAACATAAAGTAAATTGTGTATACTTTAATAATTATTGCTGCACCACACACACACACGCAGACAACGAAAATATTTGTCGTTATTACCTTGACTCTCTCTTTATTATCATCATCACTGCTATTGTTATTCTCATTATTAATATAATTATCACGACTATAGGAACATTGAATACAATGTCCAACCTTGGTTTAAATGACTGTGATTTGTCTTTAGTGAATAAATATATAAATAACTATTTATTTATTTACTTATGTATTTGTTTATTTTACTATTCCTTCAACGATTTGTTCACACTCTATGTGCTTGTACAAAAAAATGTTTGTTAAAAACAACAGATGTGTAGACCTGCTAGTTTCCTCCTCATTCCCTACTTCTTCCTGTTCTTATTGTTATTATTATTATTATTATATATCATGAAAATTACAACCGCTTCTTAGGATTAAAGTGTGATTGCCTCGCATTGTTTAATATCGTTTATTGTAATTATCCACTATCCTTTCACATGTTCTCTTTTATTTTCTTCAAGAGACAATTCATTTCTGTCCTATTTTTACTGCCATTTTCTCCCTGTTTTAATTTTCTCTCTCTTTCTCATAATCTGACCGCCTTGCGCGCAAGTATCTTTCCTCCATTTGTGTTATTGTTTTGTGTGTTGTAGTGTGTGCTTCACCACCTTAGCCACCTCTTTTCTTGTTTTCCTGTTATGTGCATACAAATCTCTTGTATATACTGTGAACACCGGACTTACACAAGCCTAATCCTCAGAGTAAAGTGTGTTTATACAAAGTGAAAAGTTATACAATACATCTTGTCCGATTGATTATTGATACCCCTGCGTTTTTTCGTCTTCTTCTTATTTTTTTCTTTGATGAGCACTTCAGTTGTTGTTAGATGTTGCTATAGTGTAACAAGTTATGGTGGGATCTTATCGAGGACTAGGAATCTTGCGCAACACAGTTATGTGACAGTAGTTGATCAGTTTGCCGCCTTGGTTTGTAAAGAATTCTACTGTTTGAGTTGAAGCATTACCCTGCTAATAAGATGGATGGATCTCTGCTGGTCAGTGTTTAGGTCGTATTCCTCTGGGGAGGGGGATTGGTTGGTATGAATGACTTTTACTTATATTTGTCAGTCATTACACTGTAACTACTTTTGTTAGTGGAGATGTGATTCAGTGTTTTTGGTCAGTGGGTCACTGGTTTGTATTCGTCTCCATCTACTTTAGCATGGGTAACTGGATTGTATCATCAGTCTTCACATGATAAGTGAGGCTCTTAGCCTGATGGTACACGAAAAATCTCTTCTGGATAGTTGTGCTCAAACAACACGTTCTTTTGTTACACAATGCAGGAGTAACCGTTTGATTTATTTCTCGACTGCAATATAAAGGGTTCATACCAAAGTTCTCTGTATAGAAGTGTATCTAAGCAGCTTGATTACAAACAGGGAGAAAGGGGCATCGGGTATTTAAAAGGGGTTTGACCCGACAGCCGAAACTTTATGACTGTCCTATGTATGTGACTTTTAGCAGTTCGAGCCTTTCACTAGTAAAGTAAATTTAAGCTTTACTCCTGATGAATTACGATTGTCAAATATCTTAATCCTGGGTGCATAAAATTGTCTGCTAGCATACACCGACTTCTTTTGTACGCCAGCTTAAGCTCACTGATACTGTGGATTTTTGATTTTTACATTGTTGTAGTTTGCACTTATCCCTCCCTCCCTTGTGACGAACAAATTTAAGCTACTACAAAAATACACAGATAGATTTTAGGTAATGTACTATGTTTTGTTGTATAAAAGAGAGAGTTTGTGCGCGAGAATTGAACAATCATGCATAATGTATGCATCTTCTTAATTATACAGGTCATCGAAATCAGCATTTGTAATTATATAAGTAGTTAGAATAGGTGTAGAAATTATCTAAAATGATACATTACAACATACAGTTAGTTACCTAGTCAACAATCATTTTCGGAGAGCGATACGACACTAGTATTTGTTAAAATTTTCTTTACAATTATCACGTCATTGAAAGTGGTGCTCGTTATAATCCAATGTAAGAGATAATTTATGACCTGCGTAGTTTTACTAAAAGTAGTCTGTTCCAACCAGTAGAAGGATATTATTTTTTTGAACTAATTAAAAATGCCCATTAAATTTTTTCAAAAGAATGGATACTGAACAAAGAATACTCTTTTCGATAATCTGCTCTTCATCAGGCTCTACAATTATATATACATTATAGTGAATGAATGAATTAGTGTTATGAACAACATTAATGTTTAAATAACATCGAATCAATAATATCAATAGATTACAGTTCAGTGGCATCAACATAAAAATAAGCTGGATGTCAGAAAAATTAGGAAAGATAATAATACAAATTCATGAATTTATAGTCTCCACTGAAGGCCGGCCAGGGCAGTAGTAGTGGCTGGACTTGCTTCTTTTGCACACAAAGCACTGGTTGTTTCACGCGAATTGCAATATTTATTTTATTTCTTCACGTTCCCAGTGGAACATAGGGCCCTAAGCTTGATCTTTGAAGTTTCGTTAGCAGTGGTTTCTATTTGTACGAGATGGGGTTGCTAGTCTCACGTCTGAATTGAATTTCTTCACTACTTAAAACTAGGGGTGACTAGTGTTTGTGAAAAATGCAGTTTTATGCCACTACTTTCTTGTAGACCACGTTGACCGCTTCACTTACTTGGGAAGTTGCATCAGTCAGTGCCAACGGGTTGATCTCCGACGAAATCTCAGCACGAATACAGAGGGCTAGTTTCGCCTATGCCAGTTTACGCCGTCTCTGGCATAGACGCGATATCCGACTATCGACCAAAGGGCGTGTGTACTGCTCAACAGTCCACTCAGTCCTCCTTTATGGCTGTGAGACCTGGCCATTGAGAGCAGAAGACATGAAAAGATTAGCTGTGTTCGATCATAGGTGTCTGCGTTCTATCTCCCGCGTGAAGTGGTATAATAAGGTGAGCAATATTGAGGTTAGGCGTCGAGTGCTAGGTAAGAAGGGGAAATCAGTCGATGAGACTGTGAAATTACATCGACCGAGATGGTTAGGACATGTATTACGTATGCCTAGTCATCGATCGCCTTCCTCGACGGGTACTGTTAGCTGATATAGGGCCAGGCTGGAAAAGAGCTAGCGGCGGTCAAACGAAAACATGGCACCAGTCAATAAAATCCACAACAGTTAGTCTAAGCCACGTAGGAAGGTGTAGACTTCCTGACTGGTTGGGGTCCTCGGGACGGTAAAAACCAATGGTTGGAAACAATTGGTGATATGGCTCAAAATCGTTCTCAGTGGCTGGTGCAGATGCATCCACTCCTTGTGACTTATGATTTCCAATTAAACTGTTTTGTTCTTCGTTATTACTATTCCTTTGTCTCACACCTCTGTTTACTGTCTATATTATGCATTTCTTCTACTTTCTTCTCTTGCTTTGTGTGCTACATGGAGTGTGGCGACTTGAACAGCCGCACATATGTGCAAAGTTCTATGTCGAAAACCGACCGACCGACTTTCTTGTAAGTATGGTAAAATAAAAGTTGAATAGTTTTTATGTTTCGTTATGGATCACTGTTTGAGATTTCTAAGACATAGTTGTATTGTCGTTGATTCGCGTCGTTAAAAGTGATTCCTGTGACAAGTATTGTGCATCGACAAGCATGTCTGTCTTCTAAAAATTGTTGAAGGGTAAATATTCGGTTCGAATACTGTCGGCCTACCTTAAAACATGACCTGAGTGATACTTTTAGGTTAAATATCTGTGTACACGCATTGGCTAAAGTGCTAGACCTTCAGTCTACGGATGCCGCGTTCGAATTCCCCCAGCTTCACCTATTTCAGTTTGGCCAACACACACACGCACAATAAGTATGGCTTATGTTGCGAGTAACTGAGAGTTTCCCGCTCTCATTTTCTCCCAGCAGGTTTTACGTGAGTGCTTGTGGAGTTGTCGTGAATATTTCTAGTACACCGTGCATTAGTTTGGGTCACATCCGGTGATGTCATCATGCTGGCTTGCCTGTATTAGGCCAATAGTAAAACGTTTATTTGTATACTGTTGTTGCCTACGCGTATTAAACATGTCGTTGTTAAGTTATGTATGTCCAACGACATCGCAAATTGCATAATCTCTGTCTTCGTAAGATTGCCTTTGTTCGACGGCGATGTCATGTAGGTAGCCGGGCAGAGAGTGACTGCATAAGGCGAATATTGGTTGTTTGGACTTGTTAGAAATGTTGTTCCGTAGGTTTCGTTGTTTCGCTAACTGGTTACAAGCTGATAATCAGTATGGAGAAAAATGAAGAAATCAAGAAAGTTGAGTCTCACTTGACTTGGATGCATGATGTATGCCTGAGAGACACGGCCAAAACCTACCTGACCAGCACAGTGAATCTATAAAATATATCCTACAGGTACTGGGAGATTCTTTAAATAGTTCTTGCAGATTTGCTGGTGCAGGAATGTGATTGAGCTTGACATCAGAAGACTCATTACTTCATTAGATCTCAGAGTACAACCATATATGTGCTATCCAGTTGAAAGGATGAGGTAAAGTCGTGATACTCGTCGATGTCATTTCACAATCTCCAGTTGCCCACCTACGGGGCTTCAGTTAAGACGAAGTAAGGGATGATTTTCAACAGCTGCTTTCTAGTTAGCTGCTAAAAGCAAAGTCCTCAGATAAAGTCATCTTAACACGTGATTTCAATGAGGAGGCATAATGGGAGTCTCAATGGACAATTAAGCCGACGAATTGACACTAACAATCGTCTTTTACAATTCTGTTCAGGTGACCATCTGTTCCTGACTAGCACTAGTTCTCAACGTAAGGGGAAACATTGTCTCACCTGCCGATCGCCAACGTCAAGTCAAGGATAGGCACAGATAAACCACTTCGCTATAAGTTGTTGTTCACCTCTGTGTGAACCCTTGGACTCTGATCACGCAACAGTTCGTGTATGTATAAGCCTCAGACTATAGTTATTTGAAAAAAACAAGCAACGGAGAAGTGTTTACGTGTTTAGATTTTTGTTACGATCACTCAAAGTAGACACATCTGAATCGTACACGGCAATACTCATCCTGTGAAAGCCGTATAAAGTACACTGAGGAAACTGGTGAAGACAGTCGATAATTTGTAGACAAATGCTAGCTAGTAAATTCAAGTGCATTTCTACAATTTCATCTAATGTGATGGATGAAAGAAAACTTTTGATGGGCTCAAAACATAAGTATAGTCTAGGGCTTCTGAAAAAGTATTTGTGAAAAAAATGTAGATAAAAAGGCATCAACACAATGAGTAACATCCGTCAAGCATTTGTACTCTACTTGGTAACCGAGTTTTAAAATATCTATGATAGGTGAACACATCTCGGAGACAGATGGGAATTTGTTGTCTTATGGAGAGAGAAGGATGGAAAGTTGGCCAGAATACTCTGAGAAGCAGTTAATGTGACGTACAACTGCACGGAATTTGACCTTAATCTGAAATCAGCGTTAATGGGATGCAGACATGAGTCTTGCAAGTTTACCTAAGTGTTCCAAAGGTGTCTACAATTCAGAAGAAGGTAAATTAGTAGGATATGGTTATGGTATTATTGCAGAACTGACAGTGATGAGGCACTGAGTGGATTCACTAATGAGTTAACTAGTGGATGGGAACCTAAGGTACCTCCGTTGGACTGATGTGGATTGTTACATATTTCGGTTTATGAAAAAGCAAACAAATCTTACTGTGATAACACTCGGGGATGTGCGTAACAAATATAGTATTTAAGAAACCACACTTGAAAGTGGTATGAAGGATA